GTGAGTACATGAGACCTACCCGTCCCTGCCCCTCCAGTGAGGGGCTACAGACACTACACCGTGACACATGGCTTTTAGGTGGGTGCTGGGGATCTAAACTTAGTCCTCACATTTACACAGCAAGTTAAGATATCTCTTTAACCCTCATAAGACACTTTTCTTTGCTGGGCATAGTGGTGCATGCTTTTAATACCAGCACTTGAGAAGCTGGAGGCCAGCCTGGCCTACCTATTGAGTTCTAAATCAGTCATGGATACATAGTGTCTCAAATAAAACAAGAACAAAAGAAAATAAATTATTCTTAATATAACTTTACAATATATTCATTTGGCAATAATGTAAGGAATGCAACCACTGGAATAATTTACTGCAGGTAAAGGGTATAGGCCCTGGAAGCTCTACAATGCTTATATAATTGAACAGCAGTATCAAATAGAGCATTGTAATTTCAAAGAACTTTTCTAAAGTTCTTTCTAAAAGTTAACAGCAGACCCAGTTTCACTCAACATTTGGTTTCAGGAAACTCAGACAGTAGCAGCTAAACAAAAAGAACAGTAGAGCACTAGCTGCCAGTACCACAGGGAAGAAAATTAGGGATCACCAGGAAACAAAGAGGAACAAAACAAAAAAACCCTAAGCAACTAAAACAAAAGGGGGCTCCTATCTCTTGCTCTGAACTAAAGTTCACACACTGTTAAAGGAACAGTGATCATGTTCCTTCCTCTAGGCTTCAGTTGGTTACTAAGTATATTAGTTTGAAATTGACTAAAAGTGGTTAAAAGCTTCTACAAATGTTCTGTTGTTGCTGTTTACTTTATAAATGACTGCTAACTGATCACAGTCCCACGAATTAATGAAATTAAGGACTAGCCCTTGGAAACACTGATAAACACAGGAGGGATTCAGATAGGTGGAATTATAAAAATTCAGAATGTTGGAAGGGAAAAGGTAAAGAATGACAGGAACAGAAAAGGGTGAAGATGATCAGTAATTTACCAGCTTTACCAGAGCACAACCAGCGCCTCGAAAAGCCAATCTCCTCATTATGTCTGAAGGCCAAATGAAGCCAGTGAGAGAAGATAGGGTTTTATAAGTGCTTATTCGGTTAGTTTATTCTGAACTGAAAGAGAAGAACAAGGCAGAGAAAAGGGACATAGGAGTATAAATGAGCATAAACAGACAGGAAACATAACATTCAAATAGAGCTGCTAAAGAAAAAGAAACAGGCATATCAGTTCCCAGGTGACCTGACATTTCTTCCATTTAAAAACCAAATGCTTCCACATGCTTTAGAAACGTCTCGCTGAGTTTCACCTTTACTCACATGAAATGACTGTCAATTCCAGGAATGAAGCATGCCTGCCCAAGTGCCCCCTAGTCAATAAGAGCAGAGTTCAATCACAGAGCTGGAATGGAGAGTGAACACATGTGGGAGGCTCACATGTGACACCAAGTGTTGGCAAGCTGGAACAAACCAAGAACGGCTCATGAGAGCAAACTCTACAAAATTCTTCCTCCCCTCCACCCAAGTATCAGAAAAAAATACTTCTTTCCAAAAGTTCTACCTGTTCTGGAAAGACATAGATAACATTCAAGTTTAGCAGAATTTTAAAAAGTCTACAACTACTTTAGTTCAAAAGTACTGCTTTTTCTACTGCACTGGAAAACAAATGACAAAAATGTAAATTATTAGTGCTGAGTACGTTGAAGTTTTAGATGATCTAATAGCCCAAATCCTTTAATCATTAATACACTTTCAAAAGATAAGGAAAAGATGTAAGGGAAGGATGGTTTTGATTTTACTTATTCAAAGGATGTATTTGACAAGAAACAATGGATCTATACTCAAGAGTCAGTTCTATTTCTTCATCTTTAAATGAAAACAAGGACTCGGCCAATAGCTAAGTTGGAAGAGGGGTTGCTTATCAAGTGGGAGGTCCAACGCTCAATCCCCAGCAGCAAGTGGAACTAACTGGGTGTGGTGATACACACGCAACACTACCCACTGAGGAGGTGGAGACAAAAGCCTAAGAGTTCAAGATCATCTCAAAATAAAAAACAAGATGAAAACAGTAAAGTATACCTATACCCTCTGAAGGGAAGAAATGACATACATTAAATTACTTTGGAATTTCAAAGCAAAACTCTTGAGCTCCCTAGGCCCAAGAACTGGGTCCTCTTTATTTTTGAAGCCCCAACCTATAAACAGTGCTGGAAATAAAATAAGTATGCTAAAAATGCATGAGATGTTTAAAACAAAAGTTTGTGTAATTTAAAAATGGTCTCTAAGCATCACTTCACTATTTCTATCTATAAGCAGAAAATAAAATGACTCTGGAATTTAATTCTAGATGTTAGGATGGCCTTATTTATAGTTAAAAATCCAAGAGTCTAACAATGAATGTGGAAGCGTCCAGTGGACAAATACCTTAGTGATCTGGGGAGATAGCAAAGTCAGTGCCTGCCATGCAAGCATAAGGGCCTGGTGATCGGAGGTCACCAGCACCCACATACAAGGCAGGCACAGCTGTCAGGACCTGTGACCCCCAGTACTGAGAGAACAGGAGAAAAGTAAAGACAGGAGGAGGCTCACTGGGCAAGCTCCAGGTCTAACAAGAGTCCTTGCTTAAAAAATAAGGTAGCCCTGGAGTGACGGCTACTCTTCTAGAGGACTTGGTTGGATAAGATTTCTAGCACCTACATGGCAGCCATAACTATCCCCAGCTGCAGTTCCAGGGGACCGTCTTCTGGTTTCTTCAGGCATTAGGCACATGGAGTTAAAACATCCATACACAGAAAATAAAAATGAATAGACTTCAACATAAATGAAAGCAGAAAGCAATAGAGGAAGATAATGCCATGGAGCTCTAGTCTCTACATACACATGCCCACATAGACAAAAATAAGTTTTCTTTTTTTAAAAAAAGAAAATGTGTAATTGTGCAAGTAGTTAGTATAGCCAAATATCTGACAACTTACTAACATTCAGTATTTTTTTTTTTAGTACTACAACACACTCTAAAAATCTTGGTTAAAAAGATGACTCAAAGACCAAAAAAAGCAAGTAATTATAATCATACTTCCCACAGGAAGACCATCCATTTGTCATTCAAGCCGTTAATATTTATGCCTCAGTTGTTGTCTTTTGTTGGTTTCTTTCTTTCCCTTTCTGCAACAGGGTTTCACACATCCCAAGCCAGTGTCAGTCTCCTGCCTCACATGCTAAATGCTAGGACTCCAATCATGTGCCACTATGCCCATTTTAGGCAGTGTGGAGGAACTGACCTACTGCTTTACACATATACCAGACAAGCACTCTACCAACTGAACTCCATACCAGCCCGACTATCTTCTCCATAAACAAAGTGATTAAAAAAAACCCCAATATTCAACAACTGTGTTCTAACATAAAGAAGGTTACCACATCAGCATTCTTCTTCATGTTTGATATCCTAATAAAGGTCTGTTATACAGATACATAGTTTCCTTATCTTGAGGAGATTGGTAAAGCACTATAATGATCTATATTTCACACTCCAATGGAGAAGTCAAGATACGTCTATTCCCATTGGTGCCTTTGCACATACACACCCGTTACTATTTTCATCGCAAACATTTCTTCAGAAGATACTATCCTCACTGTCCCCACCCTCCAGCAGTGGCCCACGCCTGCAAATGCAGCACTCAGGAGACTGGCAGGAGATCAGAAACTTGTCAACCTGGCAACAAAGAAAGGCCAGGTCAAAGATAAAAAAGGATACTTTCCAATCTTTCACTTCCAATATTAAAAATTACTAAAGCAAAAGCTAGTCTTTAATTTCTATACCGAGTCAAATCCACTTCTGAATTATATTTGGAAAAAGGAGTATTACTAAATAAGGGGGAGAATGATACTTGGAAACACTCTGTTTCACTGGCAAAAGGTGTCCCTATGCGACCTAAGCTGAACTGAAATCTGCCACCGCCCTGCCTGGACCTCCAAAGGACTGGAACCAACAGGTGTATTCTACTGTGCCTGGCTCATAAAGTCATTTTTGAAAAGTCTGAGTTAACAGAGCTTGAAGCAACGTACACTTCTACAGTTATTTCTAGAATTTCTATACCCATTTTATTGCGTTTTTGTCATTTGTTTTCCAGGAATTTTGTATTTTGCCCCATCTTTCAAATCAAAACTATTTTAATAGCAAGACTCACTTCGTTTTCAGGAAGTAAAAAACTTTGAGGCGGAAAATACTTTTAAAACTAGAAAATAGTCTTGACGTTTTAGATAAGATGATGTATCTAACCTCTAAATAAATGTCTCACTGAAAAAAATATTCGGTTTGGGCAATCACACGGAAAGAGGGGGGAAAAAACCAAAAACAAAACCAAACGAGGGAGTTTTTGCCGAACGCACAAGAAACAAAAAAACAAAAACCATCAACAACAAAAAAGGAGGCCTTGCGAGGCGGAGGAAAAGAAGAGTTTGCCCGACCTGTCACTGCTTCTGGGGACTAAAGGAAACGTTGACAGCTTGGGAGCCGCCCCGCGACGGGCGGGAAAGCGCAGCGCGGGGAACTTCCGGGCCCCGGTTTGCCTTTGTCCCCGCCGGCAGGTGCGGCCAGGCTGCTGGGCCTGTCCCGAGGCCGCCGCCGAGCCCCGCCCCGCGCCCAGCCCGACAAGCGCGTCCGCACCACGGGGCGGGGCCTCCGCCGCGGCTCCAGCCCGCCCGGGCCGACACAAAGGCCCGGCGGCCGGCCGAGGAGGAGCGGCCCCACCCGCCCCGGGCCCGGCCTTACCCCGCCGCTCCGCCGCCTGCAGCCCCGGCCGCGGTCCCCGACCGCCTCGCCCCGCCCCGTAGCCGCCACGGCTGCTATTGCTCCACTGGCCGCGGCCGCTGCCGTCGCTCAGGCGCACCCGCCGCCCTCACCGCCCTCACCCCTCCCAGTGCTGCCGTAAATCCAACCCGTGGCCGCCAAGCGAACCCGACTCTGTGCGACTGGGTGTGCGCGCGCACGCGGCCGAGCCCCCGACTCGCTTTACGGCAGTAGTTTGAGCGCGTGACGTTGGCCTGCAGCTTCATTTCGCACGTGGCGTCCGAGGAGGCGCGGTGTCCCTGAAGTCTCTCCTGCCTCCGAGCGTCTACTGCCAGCATGAAGCGGCCAAGTGAGTGGGGTAGAGAGCCGGGCGCAGTCCGCCCACCGGGAAGGTCCTCTTTCCTGCTCCCGCAGGCCATTGCTCTGCCTCCCGTAGAGCAGAGGGTTGGAAGGCCCAGGCCCGGCTTTGGCCTTGTTCACCAGGGCGTGCTCTGTGGAAGGGAAGCTAGGCCCAGACGGGGAATCCTAAGTCAGATTTGTGTGGTTAACGTGTCTGAGCCTGTTTTCGCGCCCACGATTTCCTTTGGTTTAAGGACTATTCAAAGCCACTGTCGGTCGCCCGTTGTGGCACGTGCCGGCAATCCCGTCCAAGGAAGAGTAACGCAGGAGGATCGAAACTTTGCAGCCAGCCTGGCATGTGTACTGAGAAACTGGCTCGAAAATGTAAAAAGAAACTCCTGCCTCCCCTTGAGATTTGTGGTGCTTTCCTCTAGAAGCTTGTTTCACTCGATCTACTGGGTCAAATTGACGGATACTTGAAAGTGTAGCGTGAATTATTATTAAATACTGGCATAATTTTGCAGGAAAGGTTGAGGCAGACTATGTAGCCCAGGCTAGCCTTAAATTCCCGATTCTCTTGGTCTCAGCCTCCAAAATGCTGGGATTATATAGCCACGTGTCCGCCCGTCTTCCGATTCCTCACCTCCATAGTCTCATCTAAATTGGTGGTTGACTTACTACAAGAATAGCACATCATGCTGGGCGGAGGTGGCACACTCCTTTAATGCCTGCACTTGGGAGGCAGAGGCAGGTGGATCTCTGAGTTGAAGGCCAGCCTGGTCTCTACAAGAGCCAGTTCCAGGTCAGAGAAACCACAAAGAAAAAAAAGCCACAGAGAAACCCTGTCTCAAAAAACCAAAAAAAAAAAAAAAAAAAAAAAGCACATCAAAACATTGGACTTTTAGGTTATCAGAAACTAAGTGTGCATTTTCAGTGTATTTTTGTAAGTCCCCTGGCTTGATAGAAGAGCGTCTTGAGGGTCAGGAATATAGCTAAGCTCCTAAAGGTGCTTGCTACCACGCCTGACTGTCAGAATTCAATCTCCCAGACTGACCTTATTTCTCAGACCAAACAAAAATAAGTAAATGAAATATAATATTTTGGTAGGTGGAGGGGAGAGATGACTTAGCATTTAAGAGCAGTAGATGCTCTTAGAGAATACCCAGGTTTGAGTCCAGCACCCACGTGTCAGCTCACTGCTTTCCAGGGAGAAAAGAAGCCATCTTGTGACTTCCTCTGCTAGAGCGCTGTAAGCATATCATTGATGCTCCAACAAGAGCAGGCAAAATATCCATACCTAATTGTTTTGTTTGTTTTTGGCAGAGTTAAAGAAAGCAAGCAAACGCATGACCTGCCATAAGCGGTATAAAATCCAAAAAAAGGTAAGTGTTCCTGGGAGATCTATACCAAATGGACTGCCAAGCTGGTTTTTGCATCCTTTCCCCTCAGTAGGGAAGGGCAGTGTTGGTGATTTGGGATTAGACATGGACACAAGCTCTTAACCATTAAGAATGCAACTGTGGCAAAGTACACTTCTCACTATGACATAGTCTTTACAAAGAGCTGAGTATACATATTCTGTGTGTGATTCCAATTGAATTCCCATTTCTCTAAAGTGCTTCAAATGCATAGGTTGTGTCTAAGACTGACTTATTGCCTAAATTTTAAGTGGTAAAGTGTTTTTGTGGCATGACATTTTTCTTTTGTACAGTACTGAGGATTGAACCTATGACCTCATGCGTGCTAGGCAAGCACTCCTCCAATCTTAGAGTCTTGTTTTTAATAGGTCCGAGAACATCACCGAAAATTAAGGAAGGAAGCTAAAAAACGGGGTCACAAGAAGCCTAGGAAGGACCCTGGAGTTCCTAATAGTGCTCCCTTTAAAGAGGCTGTTCTTCGTGAAGCTGAGCTAAGGAAACAGCAGGTAAGCAGGCTGAAACTTCCAATAGAATGTGGCATATGTGTGATTTCCAAAGTAAACCATCCGCCTCTACCTCATTCATTGCTTTTATGGATGCAGCTCGAAGAATTAAAGCAGCAGCAGAAACTTGATAGGCAACAAGAAAGGAAAAGAAAACTTGAAGTTAACCCTGGTGATGAGCAGTCCAATGTGGAACCTCAGCAGGTAGGATTATCTCTCCTTAAATAGAAGTTCTGAATCAGAAATAAAGGTGAAGAAGTAAAGATTAGTAGGAAAGTTGTAGATTGTCTATTTAAAATATCAGGTATATTGTCTGTAGTCATCTGGAAACAACTGCTTTTTGAGTTTACTATCTTTCCCCTATTTTTATGTCTTTTAGGAATGTGAAGAACCCAAAACCAAGAAAGCTAAATCAGGAAAACAGAATCCAAAGAAGTTGCATTGTCGGGAACTTAAAAAGGTATCTTGATATAGGTCAGTGTCGATGGTGTGAAGACTTGAGAGCTCCTTTGTAACATGGGAGTCCTTAGAAATTGTTGCAGTTGAAGTCGGGAGGGTGGGGTAGTAGATTCTTAGTGCACTTGCTTCCTAGCACTGCCAACCCAAGCCCACTCCTCTCTGTTGCCAGAGCCTGGCTATGTCTCCTCGGTACTTATAAGAAGGCTTGTTAAACATTATGGGTAAATCATATGTTCAAGGTTATTTGATTTTTTTGGGTGGGGAGTTGTCAACAGTCTTCATATTAAAATGAAGACATGGCAATCCTGTCTTCTGGACTTAGGGCCACAGTTGAGGGTGCTACTCAAGAGGGACTGCTATTCTAATAGCTTCTTACTGGACAGGTGATTGAGGCCTCAGATGTCCTGTTAGAGGTTTTGGATGCCAGAGATCCTCTTGGCTCTAGGTGTCCTCAGGTCGAAGAAGCTGTTGTCAAAAGTGGACATAAGAAGCTGATATTTGTATTGAATAAATCAGGTAAGTAGAAAGGGTTCCCTTTGTGTCTCATGTGCACTTATGAGGAATGAGGAAAAATCTGAACAGTCTGATTCTCACTGAAGACTGATAAGATCCAACTCTGACCTCAACAGAGCCAATGCATGTGCACTCTGCTGCCAAGGACATGGGGAGGAGGTGGTTTCAGCTAGATTTTTCTGTTCTGCTATTTTTTTTTTAATATTTATTATGTATACAATATTCTGTCTGCATGTATGCTTGCAGGCCAGAAGAGGGCACCAGACCTCATTACAGATGGTTGTGAGCCACCATGTGGTTGCTGGGAATTGAACTCAGGACCTTTGGAAGAACAGGCAATGCTCTTAACCGCTGAGCCATCTCTCCAGCCCCTCTGTTCTGCTATTTAATGCTTAAATCTCCCTTGGTTTTAAGAATTTACTGTAGTGTTTCATATGTGAACAGATAGCTCAGCTCTAATCTAGGATATAAGATAAGTTACTATGTGGGACAAAATATATGTGTCTAGGTGGGTTTGAGCAGCAGGAAGAACCCAGAAGAAAGACTTGTAGAGAATCATTTGTTCTTTCCTAATTCTTAACAGAATCAGGTACCAAAGGAGAATTTGGAGAACTGGCTAAACTTTAACATGGAATTACCAGCAGTGGTTTTTAAGCCTCTACAGATTTGGGGGGAGGGTGTAGAAAGTGGTTTAAAATCACTGTTAGGCTTAGAAAGCTGGTACCTCTTAGTTAAGGGACATAGGTGCTTAGATCAAGTGAGCAGTACTGGATATGTTGATTTTCAAAAGTTGCTCAGTTGGAACATTGCCTGCCTAGTGCTCAAAAGATGTACTTTTGCTGCTGAGCACACAGAAAACCAAGCATAATAGTATGCTTCTGTGATCCCATCACTGAAGGGATAAAGGGGAGTTTTAAAGTTCAAGGCCAACCTGAAAGACAGGGACAGCTGGAGGTAGGTTTAACAACTCCTGAGCAGTGGTGGTACACGCCCTTAATCCTAGCACTGGGGAGTTAGGTGGATCTGAGTTCAAGGCCAGCCTGTTCTACAGAGTAGTTCCAGTACAGCCAGGACTGTTTGATGAGAAACCCTGTCTCAAAAATGAAAAAAATTAGCATCTCTCAAGACACAAGTGGTGTGGCATGAAGTACTTTTCCCTTAATTCCTTTTGATAAGTTGGGAAAATGCAAATGAATTCAAGCAATAATTTACCACATTTAATAAATTAAGCTTAAAACCAAACTTGAAGCATTGTCTTTCCCCAATTCTTACAAGATCTAGTACCAAAGGAGAATTTGGAGAGCTGGCTAAATTACTTGAATAAAGCATTGCCAACGGTGGTGTTCAAAGCCTCAACAAACATGAAGTACAGAGAGAAGATACTCAAGGTATACTGTACTGTTAGTGGCGGGGAATGTGGTTTTCCTCGGGTTTGTGATGGTTGAAATATGATGAGTATGCAAAATGTTGATTAAGATGAAAAACAATAAGATCCAACTCTGATTTCATCAAAGATCATCTGAAAGGCAGAAGAGGCCAGTGGTTTTTCTAAGAACAGGACTCTGGTGCCAGATTTACTGGCTTTCACCTGATGGTATTTACCAGAATTATTAAGAGTGCTGTACTTTGGGTTTTTATGTGTAAAGGTAAAGAAGAAAGCTGTTCCATTCCAAAGTAAAACCTGCTGTGGCAAGGATGCACTCTGTAAGCTTCTTGAAGGTTTTCAGCAGTCATGTGGGAAAGATATTCGGGTTGGAGTAATTGGTGAGTTTCGTTCAGCACATTTACCTTTTTACTGTTAAGTCTAGAGACACTTAGCTAAGAACATCACATTGTGAACTGTGAACAGGTTTATCACAAGAGGGAAGGAGTCTCAAATGTTGATTCTAGCTTAACTTACTAAAACACTTAAAAAATACCTACCAGCTTCAGAAGTTGGTGTCTTAAGAGCTCTTGGCAGCCAGAACACTTAACCTGGTATGGGCAAAGAAACTATTAAAAAATGTATTTTATAATATCGGTTTGCATTTATTTGTAGGTTTCCCAAATGTGGGGAAAAGCAGCATCATTAATAGTTTAAAACAAGAATGGATATGTAATGTTGGAGTTCCCATGGGACTTACAAGGTAAAGATTTTCAGACATTAGTAAAAGATAACTTGGTGCTGGGCTAGGAAGATTTATTGGAAAGGCCAGGCTACCTACAATTGAGTTTGAAAGTCATATTTGGACCTGGTTTCCTAAGGTTAAGGAAATAACCGTGAAGTTTGGATGCGTAGCACTGTAACATGCAGTGCTTATTTTAGGATTCTGTGTGTTTCTCATAAACATGGAGCAGTGATGACAAATTGGATCTGACTGCTGTGCTGAGTTGTTCAATCCAACCCTGAGCTTCATGTTTGTTCTCTTGCGCTTAGATAGACCAGTAACCATGTAATTCCATCTCTTTCAGGAGCATGCAGGTTGTCCCTTTGGACAAGCAGATCACAGTCATAGATAGTCCGTGCTTCATTATTTCACCCAATAACTCCCCTACTGCACTTGCTCTACGGAGTCCAACAAGCATTGAAGTACTAAGACCACTAGAGGCTGCCAGCGCCATTCTATCCCAGGCTGATAGTCAGCAGGTAACAGAATTCCCCTTGAGCTCCTTACCACTGTTCTTTATCCACACAGATCAATGACAGTTCGTGTTTTGTTTTTAAGGTGGTTTTAAAATACACTGTCCCGGAGTTTAAGGATTCTTTGGATTTTTTTACTAAACTTGCTCAGAGAAGAGGTCTGCACCAAAAGGGTGGAGGGCCAAATGTGGAAAGTGCTGCTAAGCTGCTGTGGTCTGAGTGGACAGGGTAAAGTCTTTTTGTATTGGCATTGAAGATAACAGAATAAAGGGCTGGAACTGTGTTTGACAGATCTTGTTTTTAATGCCAGTGCCTCATTAGGTTACTACTGTCATCCTCCTCCTTCCTGGACTCCTTCTCCACATTTCAGTGAGAGTATTACAGCAAACATGAAGAAGGGCTTTAATGTGGAAGAACTAGAAATCAATAATGCACGCAGCATACAAGGTAAAACTGTTCTGTTACAACAGGGATAACAGTGACAGGATGCTAGAGGCCTTGCATTAACATGACTTTTGTTCCTTTAGTCCTCAAGGGCCTTCATTTAGTTAACAGAGTCCTTTTCCGGTCTTCGGGCCTGACAAATGGAATAATAGAAGAAACAGACATACCCGAAGAATTGCCAAGACACAAAGAAAACAGACGGGGTGGTGAAGATGACAGAGATGGTGATGGTGAAAATAATGTAAGTTTTGTTTCTTGAGTTAAAGCTCAAGTGAATTCTCTAGCATTATAATGCAGAAAGAATGAGGAGGGTCAGAAGCAGAAACAAGTTTGTGATCTAACTGACCCCATAAGGTTAATAAGATGTCAAGGGCTGTTGTGTACCACATTTCTTTGTTCCACAGGCAGAGACCTCAGATGCACCCCCTGTAGAAGATACCACAGAGATGTTACCTGTGGAATCAACGGCAAGTGAGTCTGGGACAAAGGACTTTAAAACTGTAGTTTGAGCACAATTGCTTTTATTTTCTTGTATAAAATTTTGTGGTTTTTTTCTCCTATACAGGTAAACCATCTGACAGATCATTTGCTGTGGATAAAATGCATGAAGAGGATGATGATGTCTATGACTTTAGAACAGATTATGTATAACTGCTACAGATGTTAATGTTTTGTGTACAATGTCCCAGGCTGGTTTGGCACAAACTGTAAATCTTGTGAATATGTATCATATATGTATATATATTAAAACTACAAAAAATGCTTACATGCATTTGTGTTTAAGATTTATTTATGGCCAGGCATGTGATACACATGCCTTTAATCCCACCCAGCACTTGAGAGGCAGAGACAGGCAGATCTATGAGCTCAAGGCTAGCCTGGTCTACACAGGGAAACTGTATCCAAAAAAAATGTGTGTGGGGACAGAGAGGGGTGGCCTATATGCAAATGGGATGGAGGCTCTAGAGGACTACATTGGACTAGAATAATCCGTGACCTGATGTGATAGAAGCTGAACTCTAGAAGAGCAGCAGTATTTACATTCAATATATGGAAGAGAATCTGTTCTCTGGAAGCAAAGATTTATTGGAAAACATTTTATTTACAAACTGAGCCACAGGTTACAAAATTAAAACCAAGCTGCAGTTCCTAACTGCAGCAGATAGATGAACTAGTACTGGTTTTATCAGTTTGTCCTTGAGGTCAGTCAACAATGTAGTAAGCAAGCATTTGGTAGGCAGATGGAGACATTTGTAGTCATCTGGGAAGCTGACAGCCACGGAAGCAATTTGTCATCTCTGCCCAGCTGAAACACCCCTTTTCTGTGGGTTGCTACAGAGAGACTCAAGCAAGCCTGACACTGTTAACTTCCCACATGTGTCTTCCAGGATTTCCTGAGTAGTGTATTTAAGCTTAAATTCTAGTTCACTTTATGTTTGAGGCATCCATATGTCTTCGGATTAAGCTGAATTTGCCTGTTGGGTCTGGAACATACCATTTTTCCCAAACATCAGCATATGAAGCAGCTCTTCCCCAAGGCTTGAAGTGGCCATTCCAGTGAAGTAACTTGGCAGCCTTTACAAACTGGGGTGAATACCGTTTTCCAGCACTGGAACCTTAAAAATGCCAAATGATTACTAGTAAGACAAAGCAATGTCATGCTAAGCTGCAGAAACCTTAAGGGAAATACTGGGTACAGACATCCCTAAGGAAGAGTTCTTAATTACCAATTTCTGATTAGCTTAAATCAGCAGCTGTCTTTGTTTTGATGTCTGCTAAGTGGCTCTGGCTGACCTCGAACTTGGGATAGTACTGCTGCCTTGGCATTCTCAAGTGCTAGGATTACCCATGCCCAGCTTGCATACTTAACACTTACCAAGGTGTCTGACGTTCCACATAGGGTCAATGGTGGAATGTTGTTGATAAAATACGATAAGCAGAGGAGGTGTGGTGATGCTGCCAGCCAGAGTTCTACTGTACAGTCCCTCTCTTGGTGAAAGAAAGAATGTCAATGAAGAGTACTGACCAACTTCTGGTAAAGACTATTTTAAAAAGATAAACTAGTTAAATACTTACTCTACATTAAGTTTCATCCATTTCTCCAGCTGGTTAGTTACATTCTGTCTCTTCCATTCAGTCAAGTTTGCAACAAAAACTCCAGGGTTAAAGGAACAGGTGCTGGCTTTCATGGAAAGCTTACGAATTCTTTCCTTTTTATAGTCAAGATAGCCAATATAATTGTACTGAAAACACAAGTGAGATATTTGCTGCTTAAAAACTTATATAGCAAGTAAAGGAGTAGTTGAACTAAGAATTCTCAAGTTATTAGCAAAAGCAATGTAGGAGATTCAACAAATACAGCAGTTGGGATCGAGTTTGTCTTAGTTGATTGTAAAGTCCATAAATGAATCTACAGAAAAGTAGGCATGCGATCTTTAGTGAAGTAACTGGTTAATGTAAGTTGAGCCCTGGATTTAACACTTCAAGCATTCATAGGGAGTAAGGTTTGCAGAAATTTACTTGGTTCCCTGCTCCACGGATAATGACTTTAGTAGAGGCTGAATCACAATCTTCTGAAAATGCAGCAGCATGTCCTGGCTTCAGTGGTGTATTATACAAGGCAAGAATGTCACCTGGAATGGATAAAGTGAAATGAGATTTTGTTCCTTCTGCTTCCCCTACCCCCAACCCATTTCTTTCAAGATGGTGTTTCTCTGTGTAGTCCTGGCTGTCCTGGAACTCATCCTGTAGACCAGGCTGACCTCGAACCCAGAGATCCACCTGCCTCTTGCCTTCTTGAGTGCTGGGATTAAAGGCATGTGCCACTACCCTGCAATCTATTCTTCCCACTTCCAATGGCCTAATGCTCACCATATGACAACCCTTATAGCCCAGAATCCAGATGAATAAAACTCATTCTTTGGTACCTTGTACAATTACATCATCATCCATGTATATGGCCTTCTTTACACTGGGAACCAGAATTGGCAAGTAGAACCTTGCAAAGGTTAACTGAAAAGGAAAGAAGCATCAGCACAGGATACAATAGCTGGGCTCTGTAAAAGCTATTAAAATGTTCTCAGAACCCTTGTAAAAGCAGTCAGTGAACTCTTGGAACTGCCCAGATTTGGTCCCTAGAGAATTAGCACTGTGCCCAAATTATGCAAGTATTCTAATCAAATACATCTATAGAAACAGACACATGGAACTCACTGGTTTCATGGACTCCCCCTGGTCAGGATCCTCCTTTACTTTCCCTTCCAAAAGTTTAGTGTCAAAATGTACAATTTTGTACCTGATGCTTTTCAGGGAAACACTGTTAAGCCAGGACCTGATAAAGAAAAAACACACTTCAGTCTTAAATAGTCATGTTTCTCAAGTATAGCCTTATCTTTCTATGCTTTTCTAACAGTGGCATAATGTAAGAGAAACCCAATACACTAGATGTTTGAAGTTCTTTATCTCTAATACTGGGGGTTCCTCAACTGAGATGAAGGCATTCCCATCAAAGTTTCTTCTCAGCCAAGAATCCACAGGGGAAAATCTTCCCCCAAAACTTTATTGTAAAAAATCTAGACTTGACAACACCCTGCCAAAAAATGGACTTCATTTCTGGAGAAAGTTATTACACTGCCCAAGGTAACGGTGAATTCACAGTTTTCCCTCAACCACCCAAATACTGAGATTACAAGGGTGCACCACCATGCCCGGCTGGGTCATAGAATTTTTACCCTTCCAAAAATTGAGTCAAATCATAATGGTAGTAAAAACTAGTTGTCAATAAAACTAGCATTTAATATTCAGCTATTGTATGATTATTTCCTGTGATGAATCTAAGAAACTAACCCACCTGACTGAGGCAATGTAAGGGACAGCCAATGTTATCTGCCCAAGCACACTTCTGAGTCCATTCTAAACCTGCAGTGTGTGCGGGGCGATGGTGGCGCACGCCTTTAATCCCAGCACTCGGGAGGCAGAGGCAGGCAGATCTCTGTGAGTTTGAGACCAGCCTGGTCTACAGAGCTAGTACCAGGACAGGCTCCAAAGCCACAGAGAAACCCTGTCTCGAAAAACCAAAAAAATAAATAAACCTGCAGTGTGTTTCTACATCTTGAATGGGTTCTGAGATTTTCAAGAATAAGAACATAATTTTAATGAATGTGAACCATGGAGAAAACCATAAGGAGAGAAATACTTAGAATTCTGATAGTCTGTTAAACAAGCTGCTTTTTAGAATAAGTTTTGTAGATTTCTGTTTTTAACTTTTTTAAGACAGTCTCATACACACCAGCCTGTCTTTTTTTTTTTTTTTTCCGAGACGGGGTTTCTCTGTAGCTTTTGGTTCCTGTCCTGGAACTAGCTCTTGTAGACCAGGCTGGCCTCGAACTCACAGAGATCCTCCTGCCTCCCGAGTGCTGGGATTAAAGGTGTGCGCCACCACCACTCGGCCCTTAAAACTTACTTTGTAGTCAAGGATGTGTTTGGAACTGACCGCCCTGCTTCTACCTCCTGAGTGCTAGGTTGACAGGCATGTGCCACTATGAACTGAACCCAGTACTTTATGCATGTGCATCTCTAAGAAGCTAAGACGAGTAAAACAATATATTGCTTCCCTTATCAGAAAGTCAGGTTGCCAAACATTAGACCTATACTAAAAGAACTGCGGAATTAACAGTGTGACTTTGACAGCTAGTTTTGTTCCTGATATAAATTATCATTTCTCTTGCCATAGAGACATGACTCAATCACATGGAAAAAATATTTGTACTCTGTGTGTTTGTGCATGGTAAAACAGGAAGACATCATAATATATTGTAAATGGTTTCTGGCTCAGCAGTGGGCTGGTGAAGAGCATCAGGCAGAGGCAGAATCACTAGGAAAGCAGTGCTCACCGGAGATGGTCTGCTGTACTGTTGAGGGTAACAATGTAAAAAATCACATTGGAGCGAGTGTTCCGATGAACACTATTTATGGCCGCAATTGTCCCACCCAGCCTGTCTTCAGAGGCAGCAATGACCACAGGAATCTCTTCTTGTCTCCCATTTACTGGATGTTGATGAACATCTGTGGCAAAGTCTATGGGCTGAAGCCCCAGGATTCCTGAATCTGAAAAGAACACACAAGGAAAACACTGAGACACAATCTCAGGAATTTTTGTTTCGCTTGGGTTTGTTGTTTGTTTTGTTCTTTGAAACAGAGTTTTACTATATAATCTTGGCTGGCCTGGAACATGCTAAGTAGACCAGGTTAGCCTCAAAAAAGTTACTGTGCTAGAAGTAAAGGTATGCACTACCATGTCCAGCAAGTTGTTTTTTTTTTTTTTTTCTTTTTTTTGAGACAGGTTGTCTCTATGTAGCCTTGGCTGTCCTGGAACTCACTTGATAGACCAGGCTGGCCTAAAACTCAAGAGATCCACCTGCCTCTGCCTCCCAAGTGCTGGGATTAAAGGTGTGCACCACTACCACCTAGCTGCCCAGCAAGGTTTTTTGGTTTGTTTTTTTTTTTTTTTTTTTCTACAGAGTCCAGTGCACCATGATTAATAAAAACCCAGAAACATATATTGGGGTTCAACCTGAAGGTCAGAAAAGCAGAACAGCCAGCCACTGGCTCTTACCTCTACCTCAGTATGAAATGGCGATCCTGCCTCCAGGAATCTTCAGAATGAGCCTGTGTCTGAGAGTTGTCTCCTCTCATAATTCTCACTAGGGCTGGAAGTAAAGGTGTACACCACTACCGCCATTTTCTATGGCAAACTAGTGTAACTACTGGGATTATAGGTGTGTGTCACCACTGCCTGGTCTGTAAGGTTGGCCAGTAGGGCTGTTTTACTCTTTGATCTTCAGGCAAACTTTATTTATAAAAATACAAATGAAATATCATTACATTTCCAGATTTTGTCCAAAATTAAAAAGGAGGCTATAACAAATATAAGAAAACTATATACAATAAGTACCATGACTATATATAATTTATGCAAGTAATAAATACATTAATAGTGTCTAGTGCATTTGACAAATACAGAGAAAATATCCCATAATTTATCCTATCCTGGTGAGTCCAAAGTCTTGTACCTAATTTACTTTCTACCATAACTTGCTTTCTGTATCTGGTAAACAAGGAAAACTATATCTAGTCTTTAACTCCCTCAGAGACCAAAGAAGGAAATAATAGTAACTGAGTAAGCAGGAAGTGCATGCAGGAGACTTCTAAAGAATTTGAGAAATGACAGAAAATGCTGGCTGCCTGAACAGTCACCTAAAGTTCCTCTGCAACATTCTGGCATCCATCTTCAGCCTACAGGCCTAGCTTATCTGACAGACTTTTCTGTGAAACAGGATATTCTAAAGGGCTATCCTGCCTTGTCTTGACAATGTTTGGCAGTAACTTTCTTTTGTGTCCTGCTTGTCTAATTAGGATAGCATACTGTCAGCAGCCAAGGCAAGGGCATTTTCTTGTCCAGTGTGGCATTTATTTTTGCCACAAAGAAAGTAAACTCCATGTGGAGTATCTTCAATGCCCATCATCGTCTCTGAAGTAGATTGGTGCTGCCAGGAACAGACATGTCTCATTGTCATAATAAAAAAAAGAGAGAGAGCTTATTAAAACATCTTAAATGATATATTCTGTAGATCACTGAAGTGTTTGAAGATGACCTGTCTATCTAAAATATATCTTTGTTTGACCTTTAAAATATACCTAATGTGACTACAAGTTTGATTATTATAGGTAAATAATTACTAACTGCATTTCCTTATTATCCTAAACAGTTGGTAATAATAACTTCCAAAGACTAGAAATTTCATAACATTGTTAAATGAGCTGGATAGGTACACAATACCTTGAACAAAATTAGAAAAGTATGTACAGTATGTTCCAACAAAATTTATCATAAATTTGTATCAATATACAAAAGTCCAATACAATGTAAAGCATTTAAAACCAATAGTTGTTTTTTAAAAAGTAGATTGAATACTCTACTCTTTCATTCTACCATATTTATATCCTCCCTTTTTTCTTTTCAGAGTAGATTCAATAATCTACCCTTTTATCCTATTATATCTATATCCCTTTTTCCTTTTCAAAACAAGAACTAATTTTTTAAAACAAGGAATCTAATTTCCGTGTTTAGCTTTTTCCTGACCATTACCAATAATAACTTGTAACCAACCCCCCAAACAATGACAAATATCCATAACCCATTGAATGACCAAAAACCACCCACCCCACCTCTTAGGAATGTGGGTGTCATATTCTTAAATTTACTTCCTGATGTCTGGGTTGGGGCAATGGTATCTTTAGTGAAAAAAAAAATTGGGTTAATTGCCAAGTCCTGGGAGAGGTAGCTTATCATTTGCTGTCTAGTCTCTGCATAATCCCAAGTGCATAATCCCCAAGTGCTAGGATTAAAGGTGTGTGCCAAATGTGGTACATTTACACAATGGAGTACTACACAACAGAAAAAAATAACAGCTTGAATTATGCAGGAAAATAGATGGAGCTAGAAAACATTATTTTGAGTGAGGTAGCCCAGACACAGAAAGACAATTATCACATGTACTCACTCATAGGTGGTTTTTAAACACAAAGCAAAGAAAGCCAGCCTACAAACCACAATCCCAGAGAATTTAGACAACAATGAGGACACTAAGAGAGACTTACATAGATATAATCTATATGGGAAATAGAAAGTAGAAAAAGACAAGATCTCCTGAGTAAACTGGGAGCATGGAGACCTTGGGGGAGGGTTGAAGGGGGGAGAGGCAGGGAGGGCAGCAGAGAAAAATGTAGAGCTCAATAAATATCAATTAAAAAAAGAGTTTATTATCAATCTATCCTAATTTGCACCTTCTGGGGTCTAATTTTTTGTAAACATTTTATAGCCTACATAATAAATAGAATCTTGAGCTAAAAAATAATTTTTATAAAAAAACTAAAAAAAGCCAGGCAGTGGTGGCACACACCTTTAATCCCAGCACTCGGGAGGCAGAGGCAGGAGGATCTCTGGGAGTTCGAGGCCAGCCTGGTCTACAAGAGCTAGTTCTGGGACGGGCACCAAAGCTACAGAGAAACCCTGTCTTGAAAAACAAAAACAAAAACAAAAAAAAACTAAAAACACACACACACACACACACACAAAAAAAAAAAAACTATAGATAGATAGATAGATAGATAGACAGACAGACAGACAGACAGAATCTCCTCTTTGTATTTTTTCAGGAGTAATTTGTCAGAGAACTGTCTCCTCTCATCTTATATTCCTCTCTAGGGCTGGGATTAAAGGCGTGCACCACTACAGCACTGTTTCTATAGCAAATTAGTGTGGCTACTAGGATTAAAAAATTGTGCCACCACTGTCTGGTCTGTAAGGCTGATCACTGGGGCTGTTTTACTCTCTGATCTTCAGGCAAGCTTTATTTATAAAAATACAAATGAAATGTCACTACAATCCAAGACATAGAAGGAGATAACATGAGAATTACAGTAGCAATTTACTTATTCTTTTTTTTTTTTTTTTTTTTTTGGTTTTTTCGAGACAGGGTTTCTCTATAGCTTTGGAGCCTGTCCTGGAACTAGCTCTTGAAGACCAGACTGGCCTCGAACTCACAGAGATCCACCTGAGTGCTGGGATTAAAAGTGTGAGCCACCACCACCTGGCTAATTTACTTATTATTCTTTTTATTATTACTATTATTTATGAAATATTCTGTCTGTGTGTATGTCTGCAGGCCAGAAGAGGGCGCCAGACCCCATTTCAGATGGTTGTGAGCCACCATGTGGCTGTTGTGAATTGAACTCAGGACCTTTGGAAGAGCAGGAAATGCTCTTAACCTCTGAGCCATCTCTCCAGCCCCTAATTTACAATAAGGGACTCATTAATTTTGAAGCATACAATAGAAAACTGTGTTTTCACATACATAAGCACTTTTAAAGAAGTGGAAGAATTTTAAAAAATAATCTGGCAGCTGGGCGGTGGTGGCACACACCTTTAATCCCAGCACTCGAGAGGCAGGCAGATCTCTGTGAGTTCGAGACCAGCCTGGTCTACAAGAGCTAGTTCCAGGACAGGCTCCAAAACCACAGAGAAACCCTGTCTCGAAAAACAAAAAACAAAACAAACCAAAACCAAAATGAATGTACACAGTTATATGCAAGTTTTGTGCAATTAGATGCAAAAGATCCAAGTATCTGAAGATTTGGGTCCTACAGCCAGTCCTATGAATACAGGACAGCTGTGTATTCACTCTGCTATCAATGAACACTGAGTCTTAGTATATACTAGATAATGTCTAGCCCTAGAGTTACAACCAGGAATAAAGCACGTAAATTTTAACTAGAAAAATATCTATGTCTATGTATGTCTTGCATGTAATGAAGTTCTCACTGTGGGATTGCCATCAAATTCTGAAAGTTATTAAAAAAGAAAATGTATCTTCTGTGGATATAAATAAACTTAACAGCATTAAAATTACACAAAGTCTTAAATACATATTTGAAGTTTACTTTATGCTTATGATAAAAATTACATGGAAAAGGTTGTCATGTAGTTTAGTATAATCTCAAATACATATAAAAATACAAATACTGAGAAAGGAACTAAAATATACCAGGTCAAAATTTTTTAGTAGTTTCTCGTGTCAGTGAAATAACTTATTCAACTAATACTAAATGATTCTATCTCTGCCTCCAAATGCTGGGCTTAAAGTTACGAGCTAACTCTGACTTTATTTCCTTTTTGAGAAAGAGTCTTCTGTAGCTTAGGCTTACCTCAACTTGGTACATAACCAAAGATGGCCTGTACTTCCTCCTAATACCACTTACTATTGTGTGCATGTGTATATATGATGTGTGGGTATGGGTATACCATGGTACATACTGTTGGATTGCTATCCACTAGTGAGAGAGTGAGAGAGAGTGTGTAATTTTATTTTATTATTATTATTTTGGTTTTTTGAGACAGGGTTTTTCTATAGCTTTGGAGCCTGTCCTGGAACTTGCTCTGCAGACCATGCTGGCTTCAAACTCACAGAGATCTGCTTCCCGAGTCCTGGGATTAAAGGTGTGTGCCACCACCACCCGGCATATGTGTATTTATTTTTTAAAACAAAGTTTTGCTATTGCCTGTACTAGCCCCAAATTCATGATTATTTGCCTTGCCTCAGCTTCCCAATTGCTAGGAATTTTGGGGTGTGTCATTACATCTAGCCTCAAAAATCATTTTTGAAAACAAGGACATTGTGGTTCGCATCTGAAATTCCATCTGCTGTGGATTATGCTCATTGCTAAATAAAAGCTGATTAGCCAATAGCTGGGCAGGCAGAGACTCAGCGCCAGAGTCAGCAAGGAGAATTTTGGGGAGAGGAAAGCAGAGTCTGAGAGTTGCCAGCAAACACAAAGAAGCAAGATGAGAATGCCGTACTGAGAAAAGGTACCAGACTGGAGAGATGGATCATGAGCACTGGCTGCTCTTCCAGAGTTCAATTCACAGCAATCACATGGTGACTCACAACCATCTATAATGAAATAAGGTGCCCTCTTCTGGCCTGCAGGCATATATTTAGTCAGAACACTGAATATATAATAAATAAATCTTTTTTAAAAAAAAGGGGGGGGGTGGAGAAAAGGTACCAAGTCTCTTGGCTAAACATAGGTAAGAACTATGGGCTGATTTAAGTGTAAGAGTTAGTGAGTAAGAAGCCTGAGCTATCAGCCAAGCATTTATAAGTAATATAAGCTTCAGTGTAGTAATTTGGGAAGTGGCTGCCAGGTATTTGGGACTCAGTGGCTAATTCCATCATATGGAAGCTGAGGCAGGATGATCAGGAATTCAAGAACAGCCCATAGTGAGTTTGAAGCCAGGCTCAGCCATAAGATCCAGTCTCAAAACAACAGAAAACAACAAAAAGATATCTACAAACACCCCGAAGCCTCAAATATCCTACATTACCAGGGTAGAATCATATGAACAACTAGATAACTGTAACGTAATTATACAATAGAATGGTTTTTAATCAGCCGATAAGACTTTGATGTCTGTTTTATCACAAAGTCCTACTGCTGTGACCGCTAAGTTAAAGGAAAGTGACAGATTTATCGACACTGCAGGGTAAAGACAAGCATCAGATACCAGGACGCAACTTCTAAAGCTCTGACCTGATGCAATTTAAGGTCTCTGACTTGATAGAAAGGAATATTCTCTCAGATCAAGTCCTTAGCTAAAGACTTGACTACAAACCGGGCAGTGGTGGCACACGCCTTTAATCCCAGCACTTGGGAGGCAGAGGCAGGCGGATCTCTGTGAGTTCGAGGCCAGCCTGGTCTACAAGAGCTAGTTCCGGGACAGGCACCAAAGCTACAGCTACAGAGAAACTCTGTCTCAAAAAAAAAAAAAAGACTTAACCACAGAGACAAGAGCGGGAGGAGTGCCCACGCCCCTCCCCCTTACGGCCATTGCCTAACTCAGTTACTCGCTGTCCACCTTATCCAGACAGCCTGAGCAAAGCAATTACCAAAGATCAAACAGCCTTGTCTGGACAAACAGCTCCAGGAAGCAGAGCTTGCACACAGCCCCTGAATCTCCATTTAACTTCCATTTCCCAAACCTCCTATGTAACCTGCAAGTATCCCCTCCTTCTTTTTGCAGACACCCCCTCCCTGCTGTGTCTGTCCTTTGCTGTTTGAAGTTAACAGCCCCCTCTACTGAGGTCACTGGTCTCTTTTGGCTTTCTGCCCCTTTACACTGCCTCAGAGTCTTTCTAAGCCCAAGAAGCGAGTTTTCCTTTCTTTTTTTCTTTTACACAGTGCTATCAGTTACAATGTGGGACAACAGACAGTAGTGCAGAGTCAGTAAAGGTTCCCATACCTGTTATGTCATTCCTTAACAAACTACTCAAGCTGAGGAAGTTATGGTGCAAAACCAGTAAGAAGAGAACAACAGCCAGGACCCAGATGATGATGCTCACTGAAACAGAGGGAACCTGTATTACATCTCTTGGCTTTGGTCTATGTATAAAAGCAATGGAATTTGGAGAGAGGGAGAACATACCTTTACGGAATGACATCCTTTTCTTCTGTCTTATACAAACATTAGATACTAATCCTATAAAATAAAAGTCCCCAAAGTCAGTAAGGACATGAGAATGGTCATCAAAAATACTTATCCAGACACTTTTTTCTAAATTATTAACTTTCAAGAGCCCAATCTGGAGCCTGAAAAAAAAAAACCTTTTTAAAGATATATAGATATATGTGTGTGCGCTATCTGCATACCTTTACACCAGAAGAGGGCATCAGTCACCATGTGGTTGTTGGGAATTGAATTCAAGACCTCTGGAAGCAGCTAGTATTCTTATCCTCTGAGCCAACTCTCCAGTACAGAGTCTGAAAATTTTATGATGATCATAGTGCTTTCAAGTGACATTTGAGACCACATAGCTTTAGATAGTTCCATGAGATTCAACACCTTCTGGCCTCTGCAGGTACTGCATGCACATGGTACACACAGAGAGAAGTAGGCATTGTGTATACACATAAAAATCTGCTTTAAGGGACAATAAGTCAGGCTGAGGACACAGCTTAGTGGGTAAGGGTGCGGGCTGGGTTAAGGATGAGGATGTATCTGTGCTCATATCTGATGGAGGAAGGTCATTGGCTAATAAAGAAACTGGCTTGGCCCATTTTATTGGTTAGAACATAGGTGGGTGGAGTAAACAGAAGAGAATGCTGGGAGGAAGAGGAAGTGAGGTCAGAAGTAATGCAGCTCCTCTCAGAGCCAGATGCCTCAGACAGAGAGGCATGCTCTGCTCTCCCGGGCAGATGCACGCAATGAAGCTCCTCCGACCCAGGATGGATGTAGGCTAGAATCTTCCTGGTAAGCGCACCTTGGGGTGCTTACACAGATGATTAGAAATGGGCTAAATTAATATGTGAGAATTAGCCTAGAAGAGGCTAGATAGAAATGGGTCAAGCAGTGTTAAAATGAATACAGTTTGTGTGTTGTTATTTCGGGCATAAGCTAGCAGGCGGCTGGGGTGCTGGGGACGCAGCCCCGCCGGGCTTCTTATTTCAACATATATCCCCAGCTCCCATGTCAAAAACTGGGCATGGTCACATGCACATCTGTGACCTCGTCACTGTGGGAGGGAGGCAAAGATTGGAGGATCCTGAGGCTTGCTGACCACCGGCCTAGCTCCAGGTTCAGTAAGCAGAGAGATCAAGCAGGACACCAGAGGCCCTCCTCTGGGCTCTACACACCTGCATGCACAACACACAGAACCCAGATTCATCTCTGTTGATGAAGTGACGAAGTATTAAGAAAGTGGTATCCACACCGGTGCTTTCTAGGCCCTCTCTGCTCATCTGACACCTTTACTTTCTTAAAACAATTCAATGGAGAAGACTGTGGAATATGTATTTATGAAACTAAATTGATTAAACAAATTCACCCATAGTGGTCTTTAAACATGTAGACAGGGGTGTTTATTTGACAAAGGACTTTCAGCCAACCACACTGCTGAGAAAGTTAATTTACACTATGTGTGCATCAGGCATTTAACTTCCCAAGGTCTTTATAAAAGCAGGCGTTCTGTTTTAAATAGGACCATGGGTCATATTACACATTTGAGGCAATGTAATTCAGACTTACAAAGAAAGAGCTAAAACACATGAACACGTTCCTTTTTAGAACAGTATATATAAAACATATCACACCAATGAACTTCCTCTGTAAAAAATACGCATTATAGACTGGCAAGGTAGCTCAGTGAGTAAAGGTGTTTGCTTGCAGGATAAGCTTGATGACAGAGTTCGCTCCTCGAACCCACGGAGAGAACTGACTCCGAAAGCTGCCTGTCTCTTCTTCCCCGTGCGCACCACAGCACCCGCACTCACTCTCACTCTGTCTCTCTCTCACACACACACAAAATTTTTTAATATGTATATATGTATTGTAAGTATATGTATGTAACAACAATGAAAAAAGGTCTTTTTATAATTTATTTAGCTTTATTTTTATGTGCATTGGTGTAAAGGCATCAGAACCCCTAGAACTGGAGTTACAGACAGTTCTGAGCTGCCATGTAGGTGCTGGGAACTGACTCCTGGGTCCTTTGGAAGAGCAGCCACTGCTCCTAACCTCTGAGCTAGCTTTCCAGCCCCCACACAAATTTTTTTAAAGTTAAGAACACAGCTGTGGGTTGAGAAGAGAGCTCAGCCCATTAAGAGCTCGCTGTGCATGTCAGGACCCAAGTTAGATCCCAGAAACTCCATATAAAGCAGGGTGTGGATACTCGCGACGCGGCTTTCTTTCCCACAATCCCTCGTGCCCGTCCTTTCCAGCTTGGGCCCAGCAGAAGCCCCCCTGTCGCCTGCATTTTTTTAGATGGCTCCCGCAAAGAAGGGTGGCGAGAAGAAGAAGGGCCGTTCTGCCATCAACGAGGTGGTGACCCGAGAATACACCATCAACATTCACAAGCGCATCCATGGCGTGGGCTTTAAGAAGCGTGCTCCTAGGGCACTCAAAGAAAACCGGAAATTTGCCATGAAGGAGATGGGGACTCCAGATGTGCGGATTGATACCAGGCTCAATAAAGCCGTCTGGGCCAAAGGAATAAGGAATGTTCCATATCGTATCCGGGTACGTTTGTCCAGAAAACATAATGAGGATGAGGACTCACCAAACAAACTCTACACATTGGTAACTTACGTGCCTGTTACCACATTCAAAAATCTACAGACAGTCAATGTGGATGAGAACTAACCTACTGAATCTCAAATAAAGTTGGAGAACAGCCTTCAAAAAAAAAAAAAAAAAGCAGGGTGTGTACCCCCCATCACTGAGATGAAGACTGCACGATTCCTGGTGAATCTTAAGGAACACCACCCGAGGCTGACCTTTGTCCTCCACGTTTGTGTTCTTACACACATGGAAATGCACACACACAAAAATAAAAACACACATCATATGTCCCGCTCTTTGTCTCTATCACATCCTAGGCTGAGCCTGACCTACAGAAACTGGCACATTGGGAGCCACTCAATAAAGCCTTAACATCTGCCTGCTTTGAGCTAAATTTCACCAAGACTGGATACAACAATCTCATTCCAACCATCCCCAGCTAGTTGCTGGTACAAAAGGCAATGGTTTGTCTCATCAACTTCTAGTGATGCTAGTTACAGGTAACATTGTATATGGAATGGAAGTCACATGTATCTGATCTACTCTAGTTAGCAGAACATAAGAAACACACCTCTAGCAAGTACCGAATGCACTTAAGTACATACACGTGACAGAAAACACTAAGTTCTACCAGTTACCTACATGAAAAATACCAGCTATCATAGTAAGTCTGATCAATGGTGTGCTTCCTGGTAATGAGGGTTCCTTGGTTTGTTTAGGAGCTCTCGAAATTTCATATAGTAGCAACATTTTTGCCAGAGTACAATTGTGTATAATTTTCTTCACTATGCAAATCCATGGTGATTTGCTCAGAAATTATAAAACTTTTACATCCCTAAACTATTTGTATACAAAAAAGCCTCCTCATAAGCACACACACACACACACACACAAACACACACAGAGGAAACCCAGGACAGATATTGCCCATTACTATGAAAGAAATTTTAAGGAAAAAACTTTTTTTGCTTATTGTTTTTGAGACACGGTCTCCACCTAAAGCCCAGGCTGACCCTGAACTTTTGATCCTGCTGCCCAGTGCTGAGATTATTGGGTTGCACCATGTTTTAGCCGTTTCTTTTTTTTTGCTTGTGTATGTGTATACCGTATGTGCATGCATGTGTGCTTGCATGTTTGAGAGTGTGTGTATGTGGGGGGAGGAGTCAGAGATTGAAGTCAGATTTTCATGTCCCACCTTACAAAGTCTCTCAACTGAACCCCAACTTGCCAGTCTTTCTAGTCATCTTGTTCTCAGGGGCTCATCTCTACCTCCTGAGTGCTGGGACTGCAGGTGTGCTGCCATGCCCAGCCTGCACTGAACAGATACTGGGGACTTGAACTCAGGTCCTCCACTTGTGTGCTAAGTACTTTTCCCATCATCTCTCTAGCTAACTTCCACCTTTAAAACACAAACACGCTCGCTCCCTGTATTTATAGCCACAGTCTCAACAATCATTTTGCTTATTTTCCCTCTTATTATTACAGACCACACATATGCACAAGATGCTATCCCACTGGTGCCGGTTCCGTATCCTACAATTGCTTGTAGGAGCATCATAAACATCTTTCCATTCCCGGCGGATCACTCCCGCAGCATGCTAGCATGTTCTGGTCTTTCAGTTAGTTAAAGGCGGGAGAGGGGAGTGGAGGATGGACAGGATCGAACTCTGCCTCCTTCATACTAATGGACTGAAAAGATTTGCATCTTTGTTCTTCGACGTCTGTTCCCATTTCCAAACTGCTCTTGTGGAGATCACCAACCACTATCCTCTCCTTGCACCACGAATCTCACACTTCCCTCTCGATTATGAAATTGTCACAAGTACGGATTTGTATCGCATGAATGTAAGTTCTATGGAAACAGGGAGCTAAATGAAAATATAAATCTACTGCTGAATCCCTGAGCCTAAGATCATCCCCACCAAAGAACAACAGGCACGTGGTATTTGTTGGGTAGTCTTGCAAATTCAGGAGCATCCAGTCTCCAATCAAGAAGAGAATGCCATCTTAATAATCAGGGACACTCTGTCCATAAGGGAAAGTATCATTGAAAAATTGGTGGCTCGGTGGATGGGTAGATGCGGGCAGCAGCCACTCAGCTTCCGGCCTAGAGTGGCTAGCATCTCACTGACTGCAAGAACGGCAGAGTCTACAGAGATAGATGGCCCCAGAGAGCCGGATCCCCAGAATGGGTACCCCATCTAGCTCACTAACAAGGGGAAAGCTCGGGCTTTTGAAATATACACCACCCTTGAAGGAGGGGCTAAGGGAATCTTTTAGGTGATCTTTACCAGGAGGGAGTGTGAGAGCCATGGAAACCAACAACCAAATAGTTGGACTGAATATGGGGTCCTCTAGGTGGGGGAGTGGGGGCTCATTCCATGAACCGTGGGGCCGCCAGGGCCTCGTGCTCGGTTATCTTCCCTAATTCTAAGGGTCATTAATGGTCTCCTTACTCTTAAGAGCGACGGGGACGTGGAGTGGCAGTCCCGGGGTTCCGCCACGCAATGACACGCCAGGTTAGAGCCGCGTCAGACGAATCCTAGTCCTGAGGAGCTCGGCGCAGCCGCCTTTACCTGCGCCTGGAGGAGGGGCCGCCGCCCGCGCCCCGGCCCGCCCCGCCAGCTCAGCGCTCGCACCGCAGGCCCCAGGCCCGGCCCCCCCGCGGGGCTGCCTGCGTCCGCCGCACCCCGGCCGCGGCCCCCTGGCCCGCGAGCTCTGCAGCAACCACGCTGTGCCACCAGGTCTCGGCTTGACAGTGGCTCCGCTTCCAGAGCGCCACGCGCAGCAGGCGCCACGGGGCAGTCCCGGTCCTCCCGGAGAAAAGGCCGTCGCTATGGAGACGCGGCGCGTGCCGGCGGCCGTTCGGAGGAGCAGGCACAGCCCGCGAGGCGCGGTTCTGGGCAGCCGGTAGCACTGACCGGTGCGATGCTCCGGTCAGGTCGCAGCCCCAGTCCTCGTGAGCAATGCGCTGGATTCCAGGAACTTTAGGAGACGTCTCTCCTTTGGCGATGGCGCGGGGCGGGGCCAGAGGGCGTCTGTGCCCGTCGGACACATCCGCTTCCGGGGCCACGGCCGTCGGACTGAGGGGCTCAGCGGGTCGACCAAGCTACGCTCGGTGTCGCGCCCCACAAACCGTACTCCTTAAGAATCGGCTACCTCTGCTTTGTTGTCGATCTTCTCCGCCAATCATGCTGGAACATCTGAGTTCGCTGCCCACCCAGATGGTGAGGATGCGCGTCCCAGGTCCCCGCAGGCCCCTTTGGAGCGCTGGAGCACCGACTGGGGTGGCGTGTGGTTCACATCCTCAAAGATCCTAGGGCCTCTTTTCTTCCCCAGAAAGGATTCCCTTACCCATACTCCGTTAAGGTGCCCAAAGTTTCCCTGGGAAATCAAAATTTTGCTTCCTTACCGGGAAACTCCCGGTGTTGAGTGCTGCCAGTCCCAACACTGAGTTCCTCAAAAGAACATCAGTCCTTTGGTAATGGGACCAACGCCGCCTCTTCTCTTTCGTCCCTAGGATTACAAGGGGCAGAAGCTAGCAGAACAGATGTTTCAGGGGATTATTCTTTTTTCTGCAGTAAGTATTGATTTTTATCTTTAATCTCATAATCCCGTGTCCCTCCGTCTTTAATATACTTGGTTCTCTTTTCAGATAGTTGGGTTTATCTACGGGTACGTGGCTGAACAGTTTGGGTGGACCGTCTACATAGTTATGGCAGGATTTGCTTTCTCGTGTTTGGTAAGAAATTTGTGGCTTTTTGAGTATTAGTAGCAACATCAATTTTATTGTTGGGAAACTTGGTTGGACCTAGTAGTGAGAACCAGAATCAGCTCTGTCTTCGTCTTTCCTAGTATTATTGGGAAAGTAGAATATTAATGTCAGATGGTGTGAGCTGGCCAGAAGAGCAGAACTTTCTTTTTTAAAGATTTATTTATGTATTACATATACGATGTTCTGCCTGCACGTGTACCTACACACCAGAAGAGGCCACCAGATCTCATTACAGATGGTTGTGAGCCAGGTTTCTGGGAATTGAACTCAGGACCTCTGGAAGAGCAGCCAGTGCTTTTAACCTCTGAGCCATCTCTCCCACCCAAGAGCAGAACTTTCTAGTTTCCTTTTGCAGCTTACTCTAGGCAGGCTTTCCTACTGTGCTCGCTATGCCTCCATCTTTCTTTTAGTTCTTAAAACTGTGTGTGTAAACACTTCGTGCTTGCTCTCACCACCTGACACACCCTGTCTGGTCAGTTTGTTAATTTTTAGCATGGTGGTTATTTGGGGATCAGACATTACACATACTGATCTTTTAAACTTTGGGTAGAAATAAATGCTGCCTTTTCTCTTTTCTAATCTAGCTGACACTTCCTCCGTGGCCAATCTATCGCCGGCATCCCCTGAAGTGGTTACCTGTTCAAGACTTAGGCACCGAAGACAAGAAATCAGGGGACAGAAAAGTTAAGAGACATGCTAAAAATAATTGATGTGAGCTTTCACGATTCAGCGCCTGCTTTCGTTTCCTGTAAAATGAGCTGAATGGCTTTCATAACCAAAACGTGAGCTGTGTAGAGATCCAGCTGGTTTTAACTTACAGCTATTTTATTCCATCTCTTCATAATCTTGCCATGGAGATTAAGTGGAATATAAGTGTGCAATGCTTCTTTTAGGTGTACATGATGAATAAAATCTCCTAACTGGTAGCACTTTTTTTCTTTCTAATATAGTCTTGCAATGGGTTCTCACTATGTAGACGAGGCTGTCTCCAAGCTCAAAATCCCACTGCTTCAGCACCCCAAACTGCTGGGATTACGGGTATATGTACCACACCTGTTTTTTAACTTTCAGAGTTTCACAATTTATTGTGAGTTTTTGAACTGTTTTAATAGTGGTTTTGTTTTGGTGGTGATGCTTTTTGTTTGTTCGTTTGTTTTTTTTTTTTTTTTTTTTTTCCTGAGATAAGCTCTTTCTACATAGCCTTTGCTGTCCTGTAATTATGTAGACCAGGCTGGCCCTTGAACTCAGCATTCCACCCGCCTTCCCCTCCTGAGTACTGGGTTTAAAGTCATGCCCCATCACTCCTAGATCAAATGGTTTCAATTAAAATTCATAGTGCAATTCTATGTCTGACAAATCTTTTGTTGGTTATTTTGCAAAATTTTAGTAAAAAGCCAAAATTAAATGTTATGTTTAGAAAATGTAAGCATCAGGCTGGACGGTGGTGGCGCACACCTTTAATCCCAGCACTTGGGAGGCAGAGGGAGGTGGATCTCTGAGTTCAAGGCCAGCCTGTCTACAAGAGCTAGTTCTAGGACAGGCTCTAAAGCTACAGAGAAACCCTGTTTTGAAAAACCAAAAGAAAAAAAAAAAAAAGAAAGAAAATGTAAGCATCATCTTGTTCTGTCATTGCAAGTTCCTAGGTTTTTTAAATTCTCACTTTTTTAAAAATTCTTTTTATTTCATGTGTGTGTGTGCGCGTGCACGCGCATTATCTCCTGACACTGTCTAGGTTCTGGAGATGGAACGCAGGTTGTCCGATGCTTTTACTAGCTGAGCTGTATCAACAGCCCCCTTTCCTCTTTTCCACTGTTTTTGTTTATATGTATTGTGTGGGGGCCCTCATGTCATGTAGAGATCAGAGGACAGATGTGGGAATCAGTTCTTTCCTTCTGTGTGGGTCTGGGGATTGAATTCAGGTTGGTAGGCTTACCAGCAAGAACCTTTTGCCTGCAGAGCCATTTCATAGCCCTCCCACCCCCCCAGGCCAGAGTTGTTTTTTTTTTTTTAATTTTTATTTAATTTTTAAATAATTCTTATTGATTGGAGAGGAGGAGGTCTCAAGCTCAGAGACTCTAGGAAGCCATCAGACTCTAACCAGATGCCTGGGAGGTGGCTACGGGCAGGACTGAGAGCCCAACCCTACCCAGAGTACCTCCATCCCATTGTGCCAGAGCTAGACCAATGGTGGCCAACCTAGCCAAAAGGCCAGGGAGGAAGCAAGCCTGAGTTGTGTCTGGGAGTGAGGGAAAGCGGCTTGGAGGGAGAGGGCTAATGGCCAGTAAGTCTCAATAGTTGTTGTATGAGCTGCGGGGCTGCATTCCACCACCCAGCTCCCGCCACCGGCTACCTCATGCCCCAAAGTAACGACACACAAATTGTATTCTTTTAAACACTGCTTGGCCCATTATATCTAGCCTCTTCTCAGCTAACTCTCGCACCTGGACTAGCCCATTTCTAATAATCTGTATAGCCCATGAGGTGGCTTACCAGGGAAGATCTTAACCTATGTCCATCCTGGGTCAGAGCTTCACCAATTGCGTCTGCCCGGGAGAGAGGAGCATGGCCTCTGTCTGAGGCGTCTGCCCCAGACAGGAGAGCTGTCGAGTCTGAGCTCACTTCCTCTTCCTCCCAGCATTCTGTTCTACCTACTCCACCCACCTAAGGGATGGCCTATCAAAATGGGCCAAGGCAGTTTGTTTATTACCAATGACCTTCCTCCATCAAATAGTGAGAAACGTAGCCATGCGAGTGTAGTGAAGCAGCCCTTGGGCACCTCTGAAACCACCATCGAAGCTGGATGTTCCTCCTGATATTTCCAAAGACTGAAAAGAAAAATGTGCTTAAAGGTCTCATATTAACAGATATAGAAGAATTACTAAAGACAATGTTGTATTTCCCAGGACTTCCCGTATTATGAGATTAACATCAGCAAAGACCCTAATTTAACAAACTCAAAAAAGATTAAAAGATTTTTCTTTCTTTTTTTTGGTTTATTGAGACTGGGTTTCTCTGTGTAGCTTTAGAGCCTGTCCTGGAACTCCCTCTGTAGACCAGGCTGGCCTTGAATTCACAGAGATCTGCCTTTCTCTGCCTGCCAAGAAAAGGCTTAGTTCACCATTGTCTGACCAGAAAAGATTCTTTTAAAGAAAACTTAAAAGCTACAAACTTCGAGGTTATAGGGGAATGTGTTACAGTTGTAGTGTTGCAGAGATATCCTGACTTATCCGGAAGCTGGGCTATACTTAGACCTGCAATAGGACAGCTCAGCCCTGGAGGAAAGGTCCTATCGGAAAGCCAGGCTACCTGAAGCTGGGGTATAGTGGGGGATGGTCTCCCACAGGATATAGAGCTCCCGCTCTTCTGGAGAGCTGTTACAGCTGAGTTCTGCTCTGTTCCCTTAAGGGAGCTAACACTCTGCTAAAAGGGGAAGCCCTAGCAGAAATGTAGCAATCTCCTGTTCTGGCAAAAAGTCGGCTCAGCCCTTCTTAAGGAGCGTTCTAGCACGGTTCTGTTCTGCTCTGCCTTGCTCAGGCCCCCTAGGGAACATCTCAGCAAGGTTTTTCAGCTCAGTCCCCCAACGGTGAATGAAGGTCATCACCCAAGACTCTTTTGAGAAATAGATTTATTTGGAAAAAAAGGAGGAGTCCAGGAGAGTGGATGCCTCTGCCAGGGAAGGATAAACCGTGACCTCTTAACTGAACCGGCAGAGCAGCTTATATAGGGCTTCTTAAGGGTGGAGTTTTCCCAGGGAGAAGATGGGTTGGTTAGTTTAGTTGGTCAGGGGCAGAGATGGCTCTGACTTTATGGCCAAACTGTGTTTCTTTTACTGGTCATTTTTAGCTCCAGGGCATAATTCTTTTACTGGCTCTGATTCTTGGGACAAAGTATGTTTCTTTGACACTAGTTTCAGAGTCAGGGCATGTTTCTTTGGTCCTGGTTCAGGGATAAAGATATTTCTTTCCCTGGCTCAGGTCTCAAATCCAGGGTGCGTTTCTTTCACTGGCTCTGGGTTCAGAGTTGGGTGCTCAGTGATTGGTTTCCTGCTCCAATTGTCCCTTTTGCCCTGCACAGGTAGAGTTAAAACTCAAGGGAGCTGGAGCGATGCTCAGCTAAGAGCACAGGCTGCTCTTCCAGAGGACCCGGGTTCAATTCCCAGCAGCTACATGGCAGCTCACAACTCTTAACTCCAATACCAGGGGATCCAACACTCTCAGACATACATGCAGGCAAAAGGCCAATGTACATAGGGGGAAAAAGTTACTTTATGGTCTTGAAATAAAAAAGATGAAAACAGGAAGATAGCTAGTCAAAGGCAGAAATGAGGTTAAATGGTGAAAAAGATAATCAGGAGTTAAAGACATGGTTTCAGCTAAGAGCATCAGATTCAATCCTTAGCACTTAATCCTTAATCCCAGTGTTTGAGAATCACACACTTTTAATCCCAGCACCAGGGAGGTGGAGACAGGAGTGATATGGCTGGGCAGAGAAAGGAATATAAAGGGGAAGAGACAGGATCTCACCCTTTCAGCGTGAAAATTTGGTTAGAAGTATAAGGGTCTCTCTGGTGGTTGGCTGCTTTGCTTTTCTGACCGTTAGGTTAAACCCCAATATCTGTGGGTTTTTATTATTCCTGCTACAGTGTAATTCTCAAAGCAAACAATCTTTTTCCCTTACAAACAAAACATTTGGAGCCAGTGGTGCACGCCTTTAAAACCAGCACTCAGAAGCAGGTGGATCTCTTGTGAGTTTGAGGCCAGCCTGGTCTACATAGCAAGTTCCAGGACAGCCAGAGCTACACAGTTGAGACCCTGTCTGAGGAAACAGACAAACAACATTTGGAGTAATTTTCAGTCCTTTAAATAAAATGGTGATAAGGCTGAAGAGATGGCTCAGCAGTTCAGAGAACCTGCTGCTCTTGTAGAAAACCTGGGTTCAGTTCCCAGCACCCACATCAAGTGGCTCACAATCATCTACCTGCAAAGCCAAGTCCAGGGGATCCAACATCCTCTTCTGGCCTCCTCAGGCAGCTGCACACACATATGTCACATATATGTACACGCACACACAGACACACACTCATAAAATTAATCTTAAACACTGAAAATTTACCAAAGACTTGTATTTTATTTATAAAAATCTTTCTACATGAACATTACTTACTAAGTAACTAACATAACATGTGATATACAATTATGACTTTTATTTTTGCGATGAGGGTCTCTAGTATGAGCTGGCTTTGAACTTAGTCATCCAGCCTAGCCTGAACTCATGACCCACCTCCCTATGTTTCTCAAATGCTAGGATTTAAGTGTGCACCAATGCATCCAGCTGTACAGTTATACATTTAAAATATAGAAACTCAGCCGGTGGTCGTGGCACATACCTTTAATCCCAGCACTCAGGACGCAGAGGCAGGAGGATCTCTGGGAGTTTGAGGCCAGCCTGGTCTACAAGAGCTAGTTTCAGGACAGGCTCCAAAGCCACAGAGAAACCTTGTCTCGAAAAACAAAACAAAAAACAAACAAAAATAAACCTAGAAACTCAACTGACACTTTATTATTATACATAAAGAAAAACATTGCCTGCATTCAATAGAATCTAAGGACCTGGGCTTTCCTTGGACACTGCTTAGCTGAAAAGGAATTCACATTTAAGAGATGTTTTGGCTGATAAAAAAAAGAAATGAGTCACAAATCTATACTTTAGATGGCACAAGCGTCCTAAGAGTCTAAAGACTGAACCTCACTAAGATAAATGAAAATATTATAAAAGTTCATTTATGTGCAAAAAAAGTTGTTCAAATGCAACATAGAACTTCATGTTCTTTACATCTATTCCCAGAATAGTATACTAAGTTGACATTAGAGAATAAACATCACTACTCTCTAAGGTTATAAACAATACCACATATTAAGAGATGTCAGTTGTTTTTTCTCATTGTAGAATAATATAATCCAATGTTTTCTGGCCCCATTTCAAGCTAGTTAATATCTTAAAAAATAAACTAGGTATAATGTTGGCTTAAGGCTCAGTAAATAGTAACAAACAAATATAACATTTTCTCCATAAAAATACAATGATATCCCGTTTGTTTTTTCCTCTGTGAACTTGTTTCACATGAGTCTACTCCATCTCATGTTTCATAGTAAGAAGCCCCAAAGAGACACTGAAGACAGTGAGTGAGTAGCCTCTGAATAACTGAAACGGCCTGTTGTTGTTGTTTAGATGAAAAACCTTTGAAAATAGTCTTTAGTTCTGGCAGCACATTAAAACAAATCTCAAAAATTCACATTTTCTTCAAAAAACTTCAACTGGCGAGCTTTCACACTGTAAACTGTATACTTGTCGCCCATGTGCTCCCGTAATCGTGCCTAGTTGAGAAACATAAGAAAATCAGTACATAACAGAAAAATAATTCCTGTCATCTTCAAACAAAAGTTTTCCCAAGCATCACACTGTAATAACAGGTCCATCTCAGAAGGAGGTACCTTAGCGGTCACCATTGTAGATGAGCCGGAGGGACATCTGCTTGTCACAGAACAGAACCGGTGGGAAGTTGTAGGCAGTCCATCATCAAAAAAGGGGCAGTCTTCAAGCCCCAGATTATTCGTTAGGTAAGCTAAACCAATAAGGTGGAGAATTTGGAATGGGGGCAAAAAATGGATGGGGATTTCTTGGTTTGGGGAACTTTAAAAAGCACTGTCTTGTGCCAATCAGCACACTGGCCACTTCTGCCGTTTCTGCTGAATTGTACATGAAAACTGCTTCATCTTCTTTCTCCTGAATTTGCTGTCTTACTTCCAACGATACCAGGAGAAAACCATATGGGAAATACTACTAGTTCTGTTTGCATAAAACTATTGTGTGTGTATGCGTGTGTATGGTCTGTGCACAGTTGTGTGAGTTCAGACATGCTGTGTACATGTGGAGGTCAGGGGCAGTTCTGTGGCCCTGGCCCTCTGCTTCCACTTCTATGTGACAACAGCTTTTTCCCCGCTGAACCATCTACATAAAATTTCACAACTTACAGTCCAGACCGGAATCCCATCTACTCAAGTCCCAGGCCTGCCTGAGTGAGTTGAAGCCAAGCTAAGTAACTTTGTGAGGTCCAAAATAGAAAAGAGTGAGGCTTACAAGTAACCCAACAAGGTATGGCATACAATATCTGTTGAAATGGACGCTTAAATTTAGAATAACACCTAGGATGCTGAATGGGTGTGATACATATTCTGATATAATTCACTGAAGATACAATGTCACTTTGATGGTATTCTGGTAAAAATACACGACTTGGAGGTGGAGGCAGGAGGATTAAGCATTCAAGGCCAGCCTACATAGTGAATCTGAAACCATTTTAGGCAACATGAGACCCTGCCATTAAAAAAAAGAAAAAAAAGATAACCTAGCTAAGAACACAAGTCAATCACAGCAGCATTGGGAGGCCACTTTATGTTACAAAGATGTCTCATTAAAAACCAGAATCTGAAACTATTCATGAGAAAATAGAGAGGCACGGTGGCTGGGATATTTGCCTCACATACAGAAGCACTGGGCTTGGTCTCCAGCACTGCACATGCTGGGTTTGGCAGCAGATGCCTATAATCGCAGCACTTGGCGTGGGGAAGCCAGGGTATCAGAAGTTCAAAGTCATCTCCAGCTACAGAGCAAATCTGAGGTCAGCCTAGGCTACATGGGACCCTGTCTAAAACAGAAAAAGAGACAAGAAAACAGAAAAACAAAATCAAGTGTTATTTATTTATTTATTTATTTATTTATTTATTTATTTATTTATTTTTGAGGCAGGGTTTCTCTGTGTGGCCCTGGCTGACTGAGAACTTGCTCTGTAGACCAGGCTGGCCTTGAACTCAGAGATATGGCCTCTGCCTCCTGAGTGCTGGGACTAAAGGCGTGCGCCACCACTACCTGGTTTCAAGTGCTATTTTATCGAACACGTGGTCAACTGAAAAATGACAATGTGGGGGCTGGAGAATAAGCATAGAATGAATGATGGAATATTTATTCAAGGGTTGGTTAGGTGACTCAGTGGGTAAAGACACTTGCCACTGAAGCCTGATGATTCTTTATATTGCATTCAATCCCCACAAACCACAGAGTGCAAGGAGAGCCAACTCTCGAGAATTGTCCTTTACTCTCCATGTTTGCCATGGTATGTGTGCATGTATGTATGCACATGCATGCATATGTATTCTCACATGCACACACATTAAATTAATGTAATTTTTATAAAGATAGGGGCTGGAGAGGTGACTCCGCAGTTAGGAGCACTCGTCCCTGCAAAGAACCTGTGTTCAGTTTTAGGCACCACATGGTAGCTCACGACTGTCCCTAAATAAATCCAGCCCCGGACCTTGATGGGCACTAGGCATGAACATGACCCACAGACAAACATGCAAACAGAACATTCATATACATAAAAATGAAATCTAAATTTTTTTTTTAACATAGGGTTTCTTTGTGTAGCCCCGGCTGTCCTGGAACTAGCTCTGTAAACCAGGCTGGCCTTGAACTCACACACAGATCTGTTTGCCTTGGACTCCTGAGTGCAAAGATTAAAGGTTGTGCCTCTACTGCCTGGCTCTCAATTTTTTTAAAGAACAAACAAAAAAATTTAAAGGATTTATTTTAAAAAATTCATCCAAGAATATTTAATAAGGGCTGGAAATTGGTTCAGTAGCTAAGAGCTGCTTTTCCAGAGGACCTGGGTTTAATTCCCAGTCAACACACAACCATTTGTAATTCCAGTTCCAGGGGATCCAATGTCCTCTTCCAGTCTCCAAGGGCAGCAGGCCTATCTACATACATGCATGTGAAACAGCCATACATATAAAACAGTCACAGCTCAATAAAAATAGCTTTAAAAAGAACATCTAACAAAATTTGGTAGGAACAATGAGTCTTAGTATGTGAATCAGTCAATAGCCATCAAACCTTACATAGGCCTCCTTGCTGCCAGGTGAAAGGTGATCTTTCTGAGAGAAGCAGGACATCACCATGTCTGTCATCCTACTGCGAAACTGAAGCTAAAATTCAGGAGAGTTCAGCCGAGAAGCAAGAGCTCCTCCCTGCCTAGCAGAGCCTGTTGGACAGGGATTCAACCGTGGGTTCAGCCACACTAAAAAAAAAATGGGGCTTCAATCACCTTGTCCCAGACACATGGCACAGCATCCCAAGAAAACCAGAGACGACTACCTCAGTCCTCTTCTCCTCCAGCCAAATACCCCGACCACCCCTGCCCACTTGTCCTGTCTCTCAGACAGATCTCTCTATCTCCCGGCTGGTTTGAAACACTGGGAATTGAGTGCCCTCCTCTTCTGCCACAGCCTTCTGAGAACTTGACACTACAATCATGTGCTACTAAAAGTTTACAAAGCTTTTAAACAGATTAAGCAAGAGAGAAGATTCAGAATATGAAAATTAGAAATTAAAATGGAACCATTACTTTTAATTCTATACAAATAAAATATTGTAACAACTATAAATGATTATATGGCAACCAACTGCATAAACTAGTTGAAACTGAGAAAGTCCTAGAAATAAACAACCTATCAAACTGACTCACAAAGAAACAGAAAATCTGTATAGGCTCGTAGTATAAGAATTGAATCAAACATTGCCATATATTAGGAGAAACATTTACAAATCTTACATCTGATGAGAGACTTGTATCCAGAATATATAAAAATTGGACAATTTAAAGGTTAAAAGAAAAAAAATAATATTTATACCCTGGCAATGCTGAAGCATGCATGGGCAGCCTGTATATGGCGGTCCTGTTGAACTTGTCCATCCTGGGTTTCATGGTCTAAGTTGATGAGGATGACCTACAGGTCTCTTCCTCTAGAGGGCACCAGATCTCATTACAGATGGCTGTGAGCCACCATGTAGTTGCTGGGAATTGAACTCAGGACCTTTGGAAGAGCAGGCAGTGCTCTTAACTGCTGAGCCATTTCTCCATCCCCCTAAAGGTTTTTTAGTTTAGTTTTTTTTGTTTTGTTTTGTTTTTTTGTTTTTTGAGACCAGGTTTCTCTGTAGCTTTGGAGCCTGTCCTGGAACTTGCTCTTTTTTTTTTTTTTTCTGGAACTTGCTCTTATAGACCAGGTTGGTCCCAAACTCAAAGAGATCCACCTGCTTCTGCCTCCTGAGTGCTGGGATTAAAGGCATGTACCACCACTTCCTGGTTTCTCCAGCCCCCTAAAGGTTAATAGCCCAAGTTTGAAATAAACATTTCTCAAAAAAAAAAAAAAAAAAAAAAGCAAATTGTTAGGAGTATATGAAAATATACACAACATCATTATTCATTAGGGAAATATAAACCAAACATAATGAATACCATTTTATATCCAATGAATGGCTATAACTAAGCAGACAATAACAAGAATTGCCAAGGGTATGGATAAGCAGAGTCTTACCTTATATACAGCTAGTGAGAATATAAAATGGTGTAGTTACTTTAGGAAACATTCTGGAAATTGCCCTAACATTTCAATATAGCTATTGTATAATCAAACAATTTTACTCCTAAAGGAAATGCATAAATCCAAGAAGAGTGGAGCCTCACAAAAACTCGCCCATGAGTGTTCAGAGAAGTTAAAAACAATGGAAACCACACAAATATCCATCAACTGATGAATAAACAAAACTCCCAGGGTAATATGTTTGGCCATGAAAAAGACTGAAGTATTGGTACATGTTATAACATGGAGACTGAAGTACTGGTACATGGATAACTCTTCAAAATATTACGTGGAGAGAAGCAAAACACAAGGATCACTTGTATGAGATTCCACTATACAAATTGTCCAGAATAGGAAATATATGCAAATATCTGCAGAGAGAACCATTTGTTCTTTGCTTAGGGGTAGGTGGGGACTCAGCAGACAATGGGGGACATTACTAGTGGCCTAAGGTTTCTGTGGGGAACAGTGAAAATGTTCAAACACTACTTGTGATGACCGAACATGGAAAACTACTGAAATATACACTTCAAATAGGCAAGATGCACGGTACATAAACTACATTTAAAAGTCTATAACGCAAGCACCTTGACACAGCCTAAGCCCCTTACCTCTCTCTCCAATTCATCTTCCTCCTCCAAAAGGTCATACACCTGCTCTAGAAGCTGAATCCCCAGGCCCTGGATTACATCAGCTCTCAAGACTTCAACTATTCTTCTGATCTTCTCAGAACCTGGTATGACAGCTAAATGTACAGCAACAAAAACAGGGAACATAAATACACCACAGCAAGAACAATACAATCTCTAAAATACCACCACAGCAAGAACAATACAATCTCTAAAAATCCTGTTGCAATTATTTTCACATCAATAAGAATCTGGCTTAATGACTCCATTTATATACCTTTTTCTGAGCTGGGCATGGAGCACATGCCTTCAATCCCAGCTATCAGGAGGCAGAGGCAGGAAGATCATAGAGTTAAAGCTAGTCTGGACTACATAATAAATTCCAGGACAGCTGGAGCCATATAGAGAGACCATATTTCCAAAACAAAACAACAAAAACAACAACAAAAAAAACAAAAGAAATAACCCAAAGTATCAAAAAATAAATTATATACTTTTTTGTTTTATTATTTATTTATTTTTGGTTTTTCGAGACAGGGTTTCTCTGTAGCTTTGGAGCCTGTCCTGGAACTAGCTCTTGTAGACCAGGCTGGCCTTGAACTCACAGAGACCTACCTGCTGGGATTAAAGGCATGTGCGACCACTGCCCAGCTATTTTTAAAATTTGTTGGTTGACATACAATACTGTTTCATTATGACATCTGTATATATTACTACACTTTGATCATAATTACCTCCTAGAGCTCTGCAAGCCTCCCTTCTAGTCGCTGGCTGCCTTCCTCACTTCAGATAGTCTTGTATTCACTTCCTCACCATGTCTATTTTATTATCATGTTTGTTTGTTTTGTTTCTTCCAGATAGGGTTTCTTTGAGTAGCCCCGGCTGTCTGGAGCTCACTCTATAAACTAGGGCCTCAGATTTACAGTGATCCGCCTGCCTCCTGAGTGCTGGCATTAAAGGCATGCACCACCACCGCCCGGTTAGGTTATATCATGTTATTTATTTTTTTCTGTTTGAGTCAGAGTCTTAAGTCTGTCACCCAGGCAGGCTGCAAATTCTAAGTGATACTCCTGCCTTGGCCTGCTGAACACAGTAATCATAGGCATGAGCAACCTTGTTTAGCTTATTTATATACTTTAGTTCTGTAGAACTTTAAGCTGAGGCCTCTCAGCATTAGTGCTCCCCCTCCCCTGGGAACCAAGGACCTAACAACTACACATGCACGTACTGAAATGTTGGGAACTTTCCATCTCCCTGAGTCCTTGTGAGTATTCTCCAAATAGAACTCAATTATTGGTTCTTAGGTGTTGACTCAGTTCCTGGTATTTGACTCAGTCCCTGGGAAAGGGTCAAAGTAACCCTCAAACGCTTCATCTTACCTCATCTGATCTGGCAACTGCTCTCCAGCCAATTATTGGCAATAGCCCTTTGAATAAGCCAATCATAATAGTTAAAGAACAACCCCCAGACTCCCCTTGTTTCTGTGGCTTTTTGCTTTAAAAGTAGCCTGGACCAGCCATTCGAAGTTTTTCTGGCTTCTTGAATGCTGAAAGACCCTGTCGCAACAGAATTAATAAAATCCTCATGCTTTTACATCAACTGTGGTGTGAGAGATAGTCTCTTGGGGCAACTCTTCCTGGTAGCTGGACTTCAGGGTCCAAAAGTTTCTAAAAAAAACCTTATATTTATTTTATGTGTATGGGTGTTTGCCTGAATGTATGTCTCTGCACCATGTATGCAGTGCCCACAGAGACCAGGAGAGGGCCTTAGAACCCCTGGGACTGGAACCCCTATCAACTGCCAAGTGGTTGTTAGGAATTGAATCCAGGTCCCTTGGAAGAGCAGCCAGTGCTCTGAACTGCTGAGCTATCTCTCCAGCCCCTATATTTTAGTTTTTAAAAAAATTCATTTTTGAGCTGGACAGTGGTAGTGCACACCTTTAATTCCAGCACTCAAATGCAGAGGCAGGCGGATCTCTGTGAGTTTGAGGCCAGCCTGGTCTACAGAGCTAGTTCCAGACAGGCTCCAAAGCTAAAAAGAAACCCTGTCTCAAAGAAAAAAAATAGTTTTTGGGGTGCTAGGGATGAATGGAACCTAGAGCCTGGTACATGTTAGGTAAGGGCCTGCGACTGAGTTTCACATCTAGTGTTTTAATGACTAAAAATTAGTCATTAAGCTTCATGCTATCATTTCCAAAATCTAAAAAAACTAACTGAAAGAATGAACAATTAAGAATTCTATAACTTGAAGAAAATCCACTTAAAAGATCTAATATTTTCTGCAATGTTATAAGGCTTATTGTTTACAGTTACTTTTAAAAATCAGTTTTCAAGGGGCTGGAGAAATGGTTCAGAGGTTAAGAGCACTGGCTGCTCTTCCAGAGGTCCTGAGCTCAATTCCCAGCACCCACGTGGTAGCTCACAACCACCTGTAATGAGATCTGGTGCCCTCTTCTGACCTGTAGATATGCAAGCAGAATACTTGTATATAAAATAAATAAATCTTTAAAAAAAAAAAAGAGTACTTGTTGCTAGAGGACCTGAATTCAATCCTATTACCCACACCAGGTGTCTCACAACCATCTGTAACTCTAACTTCAGGGAATCGGAAGCCCTCTTCTTGGAATCCAGTGCCTCTGATCTCCATGGCACTGCACTGCACCACACATATCCACAAATTCCAGCACTTGAGAGGCTGGGGCCAGAAGATCAGGGTTCAAAGGTGTCCTCAGCCACAAGCAAGTTTAATGGCAACCTGAGCTACATGAGATATTGTCTCATAAAACCAAAATGTAAAGACATATATTTTCATGAAACTTTGAAATGTATCTACTGACTATATAGCTATCTAAACTAAAAACTAAAAACAAAATAAACTTACAGCATTAGCCTTGTTCTCCACTAACTGCATTTGCTAGCTGCTGTAAAAGAATAAACTACCTGGGTGGTGGTGGTGCACACATTTAATCCCAGCACTCAGGAGACAGAGGCAGGTGGATCTCTGTGAGTTCAAGGCCAGCCTGGTCTACAGAGTGAGTTCCAGGACAGCCAGGAGTGTTACACAGAAAAACCCTGTCTCGAAAACAAAACAAAGCAAAACAAAAATAAACTAGTCACCTGAAGGCAGCTCTTTGCAGTGAAGCTCCGCATCTTCTGCAACTTTGCCATGAAGTACCAGCGTGTCACGATACTTCCCATGAAGTCTGAATTCTGGCACTGGGTTTAGCACCGGGAGATCTTCACAGCTCTCTTTAGAATCCAGCTTAAGAGTCTGGGTCATCAGCTGTACCAAGTCACTCATTTCATTCGTATGACTTTTCCTTGGGGGGGGGGGGGGAGGCTCCTTAATATTTACTTGACTTCACGACAAAAGCTAGACAGATGTGAAATGACCCTTAGGGAGTTCAGCTTACAAATGCTCTTGTGCTGGCTGTCTCGCAGATTGACCCTTCTACAGCAACTAGAATCTTGTAAAAGACAAAAATCAGCTACAGGGCGACTGTTGAGATGGCTCAGTGGTTAAGAGCACTGGCTGTTCTTCTGGAGGTCCTGAGTTCAATTCCCAGCACCTAAATGGTGGCTCACAACCATCTATAATAGGACCTGACACCCTCTTCTGGCATACGGGTATACAGGCAGAGCATTCATACATAAAATATAAATAAATAAAATTTTAAAAACAAACAAAAAAATCAGCTACAGGAAGGCAACAGAGGGTGAATAAAATCAATAGGTGGCCTTGGAAAGGAGTCCAGGGTTAGTCTAAGGGCAGACCACAGGCATCTCGTGATACAGAAAGACCTTCAGGCTTTCTGACCTGCCGAAGCAAGGGTCAGGGTTCAACAGAGAAGAGGGAAGAGCAGAGAGAGAGGCAGAGGGGGGAGAGAAGGAGGGAGGGAAGGAAAGAGAGAGAGGGAGGGAGGGAGGGAAAAGGAAGGGACTCAGGCTGGAAGCTGAATATCAGTTTTGGGAGGGAGTGGGCATGGCTTGTCTCTTAAAGGGACAGGGCAGACCATTACAGCTAGGGTTGTTACACAGAAAACCCTGTCTCAAAAAAACAAAACAAAACAAAATTATTTGATGTGTGCAGGTGTCTTTCTTGCATATATGTGCACCACATGCAAGCAGTGCTCATAGAAACAAGAAGATGATGTTGGATCCCTTGGAACTGGAGTTACAGATGGTTGTGAGGTGTCTTGTGGGTGCTAGAAAGTGAACCCAGGTTCTCTGGAAGAAAAGCCAGCCTTCTTAACTACCAAGCCATCTCTCTAGCTCCTCTCAGATGTATTTTAAGCTCCAGCATGTGCCACTATTTGTAATGTTATGAGTACCACAGGTAGGAATACTTTTTAGACTCAGTTCAAATAGAACTAAGGCAGAAAACTTACCCCTCCCTGGAATCCCCATCTGATTTGTCAGTTGAGCTTGTAGAGGAACTTAACTCATCCTCAGACAGACCATGTGTCAGTCTCTTTTCCTGTTAGTAATTGGAAAGAACAATAAAACCAGAATGCAATACTCCAAATATTTAAGTGCAATAACTAGACACAATGTACCTTGCATGCAATTAATGAGGAGAAACTGATAGAAGACTTGAAGTCAATTTATTCAATGAACACCAGGCAGTGGTGGTGCACATCTTTAATCCCAGTCCTCAGGAGTCAGAGGCAAGTGAATCTAAATTCAAGTCAGCCTGGTCTACAGAGTGAGTTTCAGAACCACCTAGGCTACACAGTGAATATAAGATCAATCAGTGAGATTGTAAGACCCTGTCTTGAAATAAAAGTAGAAAAAATGGTCTAGGGAATATACCTTATTGGTACTATATTGGCCTACCACGTGTGAGGCCCCAGGTTCAATCCTCAATATCAAAGAGAGAGAGAGAGAGAGAGAGAGAGAGAGAGAGAGAGAGAGAGAGAGAGAGAGAGAGAGAGAGAGAAAACAAGATGACTCCCTAAGAAAGGATTCTAACTAAGCTTCCAACTGTTAGCAAGACTGCCTGGAAAATATATACTCCTGGGACCGCAGAGGTCGCTTAGCCATTAAGAGCACTGGAGCCATTCCCCAGCACCCAAATGGTGGCTCACCACCACCTGTAACTCAGGTTCTAGGGGATCTTCTGGCCTCCATGGGCACCAGGCATGCATGTAGTGAACAGACACACATGCAGGCAAAACACTTATACATATTTTAAAAATGTGTACCCTCAACAAGTTAAGCATAATCCTTTTAATTACTATTTGAGTTCCATTTTTGGTTGGTTTGCTTGTTTGAGGGGGGGTTTGGTTTTGTGTTGATTTTTTAAGACAGGGCTTCTCTGTGTAACCTTGGCTATCCTGGAACTCACACTTATAGACCAGGCTGGCCCTGAACTCATAGAGATCCACCTGCTTCTGCCTCCCAAGTGCTGAGATTAAAGGTGTATGGCACCCCCCACCCCAGCCATGAGTCCCTTCCTTAATCAAAAGTCAAAAAGATGGCTAGGCATGATGGCACACACCTTTCTTTAATCCCAGAAATAGGTACACAGGTGGCTGGAATAAGAATGGCCCCCACAGATTTGAATGCTTGATCTCTAGGGAGTGTCACTATTAGAGGTGCTATTGTTGGAGTAGGTGTAGCCTCGTTGAAGGAAGTGTGTCATTGGGTGTGGGCTTTGGGTGTGGGCCAGGCCCAGGGTTTTGCTTTCTTCCTGCTACCTGCGGATTCAGATGTGGAACTCTCAGCTCCTCCAGCACCAAGACCGCCTGTGTGCCACCATGCTCCCCACCATGACGACAACGGGTAAAGACTGAAACTGTAAGCAAGCCCTAACTAAATGCTTTTTGTTCTAAGAGCTGCCATAGTCATGGTGTCTCTTCCTAGCAACAGAACATTAAGACAGAGACTGAGACAGGAGAACTAAGAGTTCAATATCATCCTGAGCTACCCAGCAAGATTTTAATAGTGTATGCCTGCATTCTCAACACCTAGAACATGGAGACAGGAGGATCTGGAGGTCACCCTCAGCTACACAGTAAGTTCCAGGTCAGCCTTGGAACCTGAGATCATCTCCAAAAAGAAATAGCTTAGTCAGCAATGCCCCGAAGAAATGATGCTGACATCTTTGAAGTTTATGGCATTAAGGTTCCCAGGAACAGACCCTCAGGACTGTGGGTTGCACCTGAGGGATGCTGCAGTCAGAAGAGAATCGTCGGGCAGGGGTAGGCTGGTCGTCTTCTTGTGGTTTCACTGGCTCTGCTGCACTGTGAGTTCTCCGGACTGAAGGGCCTGAAAATATGAACACCCCAGTAGCTGTTTGTGGTGTACTGAGTACAGAGGATGCTATAGGAGGAGTCAGCCAGAGCAACCCAGACAGCATATTCTGGGGTCTGCCACTTCAGTCTAAATTTAGTTCTGTTTTTTTTTTTTTTTTTTTTTTTTTTTAACCAGCTTTGAAGCTTGGACAAGTTACTTAACCCTGTGGAAACATAGGGTAACACTACCTCCCCCTTTGGGGATGATTCCAGATATGAAACAAGATACTACCCTTTACACATTTACTGTAACGTTGGAGACAGGGTCACCTTTAATAAAGGAAAGCCGGTATCACAACTTTTAGATGATGGCAGTAAGAAGGACCCACAGAGGGGCTGGAGAGATGGCTCAGCAATTAAGAGCACTTGATGCTCTTGCAGGAGACTTGAGTTCTATTCCTAGCACACACATAGTGGCTCACAACCACACACAACTCCAGTTTCAGGTAAGCCAATGACTTCTGGCTTCTATGGGCACTAGGCATACATGTGGCTTACATGCAAGTAAAACATTCATATACATAAAATAAATCTAAAAATAGTTTTAAGAATAGAATTCTAGTCCCCGGACAGCTAGGACTGTTACACAGGGAAACCCTGTCTCGAAAAAAAAACCAAAAAAAAAAAAAAAGAATAGAATAGAATTATCCACAGAGTCGCAGCATGCACCTTTAATCTAGCACTCAGGAGGCAGTGGCAGATGGATCTCTGTTTTCAAGACCAGTCTAGTCTACATAGTAAGTTCCAGGCCAGCCAAGGCTTATATACCGAGATCCTGCCTCAAAAAATAAACAAAGAAACCAAAACCCCTACATTTCTTAGCCAGGTGTGGCTCTCTGACCATCAGGGTTTGGATGGGAAAAATAAGTTAAATATTCACCTGATTTCCAGCCTGAGATGTCATAGTTCAAAATCCTCTGGCTTTCTCTGTCTTTTTAAAATTTATTTACTTGTTTAAGATTTTGAGATCTTAAATTTCTACGCTATGTGTATGAGTGTCCTGCCCACATGCGTATGTGCACTACATGTGTGCTTGGTGCACATGGAGGTCGGAAGAGGGTGAGTGTTGGACCCCCTGGAACTGGAGTCAAAGGCGGTTTCTAGCTCCCACCTAGGTTCTGGGATCTGAACCTGAGTCTTGTGCAAGAACATCACGTCCTCTTAACTTGAGCGTCTCTCCACTCCCTGCTCTCCTTCCAGTCCTCTTTCTCAGACACATGGTCAAGAGTCAGTACTCTACAATATTTTATAAGGTTTATCTAAGAAATTTTAAGAACTCTACAAAATCACTCCCAGATGGTCATTGCTGCTTTCAAGTTTGTACACATAACAACCAGAGCCAATTCTTCTGGGCAGCCATCAACAACCAACCAGGTAAAGACTTCAGCTTCACCTGAGGGGAGCACATCTTCCCGTGACTGCTTTAGACGCCGCCTCTCTCTGGCTGATAGTGGTCGATCCTGTGAAAGAAAGTCATGGAGTTATTTCTGCTTCTACTCAGTTTTCCATCACCAGTGCAGGACACATCATGCAACTGTGCCAAAGGCCTCCCACGGGTCTCTCAAGGAGCAGAAAGCACTTGGTGTGTGGAGGTTTAGTCCACACAAGAGTAACCCTAGAAAAGAATGATCACAGCCCTGGCTTCGGAAAGACGCTCATTTGTGGACAGGTAAGAAATACTTTTGTTAAGATCTCCTGAGAAAATTGGGAGCATGGGGGTGGAGGGAGAAGGGAGGGCAGAAGGTGGGGAGAACTTGAGGAAATGGGATGGTCAAGATGGGGAAGGACAGAGACAGAGAGCAAGGAAAGAGATATCTTGACTGAGGGAGCCATTATGGGGCTAGCAAGAAACCTGGCACTAGAGAAATTCCCAGGACTCCACAAGGATGACCCCAGCTAAGACCCTAAGCAATAGTGGAGAGGGTGCTTGAACTGGCCTTGCCCCGTAGTCAGATTGATGACTATCTTAAATATCACCATAGAACCTTCATCCAGAAACTGATGGAAACAGAGGCAGAGACCTGCAGCAGAGCACTGGGATGAGCTCCCAAAGTCCAGTTGAAGAGTGGGAGGAGTGAGAATATGAGCAAAGAGGTCAAGACCATGATGGGGACACTCACTAAGACAGCTGACCTGAGCTAATGGGAGCTCACCAACTCTGGTCAGACATGGAAAGAACCAGCATAGGACCAAACTAGGCCCTGGGAATGTGGGTGACAGTTATATGGGGGCAGACTGTGGGGCCACTGACAATGGGACCAGGATTTATCCCTACTGCCTGTACTGTCTTTTTGGAACCCATTCTCTTTGGAGGGATATCTTGCTCAGCCTAGATATAGTAGGGAGGACCTTGATCCTTCCTCAAAGCAATGTGCCTTACCCTCTCTGAGGAGTGGATGGGGGATGGAGTGGGGGAGGTGAAGGGAATGGGTGGAGGGGAGGGAGTGGGAACTGGGATTGGTATGTAAAATGAAAAAAGATAGTTTTTTTAAAATAAAATAAAAATAGAAAAAGAAGAAATGCTTTCACACTTCTCATATTCAGAATCTACTTAGTCTCCTTACATGACTGCAAGTGGCTGTCTTAGGGAGTGCAGACCATACCCATGGCAATCAAACCAATGCTATAAAAGCACAAACTTGTGCCTTCTAGAACTGGTAAAGTAGGGCTAATATGTTTAATATGAAACTCCACAATATACATATATTGTATCATCCAAAGCTTCATAAGAACTATTTTTAAACAAGCACACATTCGTACAAACCTTGGACGGCGACGATGAACTGACCCTTGAACTGTCTACAGAGCTGGCCACAGGCTGACTTTGGTTTCCATGCTTTAGTTGTGCTGATACGATATCCACTTTTCCAACAGGAGGGGGAGAAGGCAAAAGCCAAGGGGGTGATTCCTGGAACTTAAGTAACAGAAAGAGAGGGAAGTTATCAGTTTCATACAGAGCCATCCCTAAACTTCCAATTGGTAAGAGCCTGAGGTAAGAAAATCAGTTTTGAGACCTGCGTGTGCTACAGAGCTCTGCCAAAAGTGAATGACTACCTGAGAAGCTTAGGCAAAAAATATCTGAATGTATATGGGTGTGTGTGTGTACATATATATATACACACATACATACATACATGTGTATATCCATATATATTTTAAGATAGTCAGGACCGCGACTGGTGCATCTACCCACGGTGGGGCTGATCTATTGGGAGCTCACCAAGGCCAGCTGGAGTGGGACTGAAAGAGCATGTGATCAAACCAAACTCTGAATGTGGCTGACAATGAGGGAGGACTGAGAAGCCAATGATAATGGCACTGTGTTTTGATTCTACTGCATGTACTGGCTTTTTGGGAGCCTAGTCTGTTTGGATGCTCACCTTCCTAGACCTGGATGGAGGTGGGAGGACCTTGGACTTCCCACAGGGCAGGGCACCCTGACTTCTCTTAGGACTGGAGGGGGAGGGGAAGAGAAGTGGGGGGATGGGAGGAGACAGAAATGTTTAATAATAATAATACCCCCTTAGTCTATCCAAAAATGGCTAGAAGGAGTTGGTATAAGTCCACTGGGGTGAGGGAACCTAAATTAAACAAGTACAACATACAAAAAAAAAAAGATATGGCTTCCTTATTTAAGACTTACTTATTTTATGTATATGGTGTTCTATCTGCATATACACCTGCAGGCCAGAAGAGGGCATCACATCACATTATAGATGGTTGTGAGCCCCCATGTGTTTGCTGGGAATTGAATTTAGGACCTCTAGAAGAACTGCCAATGTTCTTAACCACTGAACCATCTTCCCAGCACTGAATGGAAGATATTTTAATAAAGGCAGTGTCAAGGGCTAGGAATCCAGCTTAGTGGTAGAGTGTTTATATAGTATACACAAGTCCCTGGGTTCATTTTCCAGCACTGCCTAGGGAAAAAAAGTTACACACACACACACACACACACATTCATGAAAAAATATTAAAAGAAAATACATGTTCAGCAACATAACACAAAGGTTTAGACAGCCTGTTCCTTTAGCTTTCAAAATGACCCACTTAAGCATCTTATCCTTGCCCAGTTTCTTGCTCCATTCTTGGCATTTCTTCTGCACTTTTGGCAATGGTTAATCATTCTAAACAAAAGTCAAGCTTCTAGAGCCATGTCCCAAGCAGCACAATGACTCATTGCAAAGAGATTGCTTACCTGGCTCTTTGCCTGATCATGGTCAGTCTGATCTCTTTTTTTCTGCCTTCGCTGTCGAGATATGGAAGGTTCAGACACAGAGCTGTGTGGCTGGAATCTTGGGGGGATGCTGTCCTGTTTTTCTATCATACATCCACCAGTAACTTGATCCTTAAAAGAAATAAAAAAGTAAAGAAACATATACAAAAGAATTGTAAAGAGTAACAGAAAATCTTTAGATCTTCAAATGCCAAAATCTCCACACTTACTTCTGAAATTGCAAAATGAAAGGCTAGAGAGATAGATAAGCAGTTAAGAGCACTGGATGCTATTCCAGAGGACCTGCATTCAAATCCCAGCACCTACATGGCAGCTCACAACTGTCTGCAACTCCAGGTCCAAGGGACCTAACACCTTCCTCTGGCTTCCATGGGCACTGGTCACATACCTGTGCACAGGCATTTATGAAGGCAAAACACCTATATATCACATAAATTAAAAAATAATAATTATAAAATGGAAGTGAGAAGGAAGCTTTCTCTTTCTCAAAATGAATGCTTATGTTTACAGGAAATGATGGCCTTAACCATGTTCTAGTGTTTACTCTCTGGCCTCAAACAAGGGCAACTCTTTTAAATAAAATGCTTAGAAATAAATTTAAGAAGAAAGTGTAAGACTGCAGTTTGGGGTGTAGTTCAATGGCAGAGGACTTGCCTAGCAGCCTCATATCCTAGGTACAGTCAACAACACTAAGGAAAAATTAAATAGAAGTTATAAGATGCCTACAGAACGGGATACTGTCAAATCTTGTGTCTCATAAGATGTGGTCCTAGAATAAAGAATTCTTTCAATTCAATAACAAAAAGAGAAATAAACCAATTAAAAATTGGCAACGAGGGGCTAGAGAAATGGCTTTGTGGATAAGAGCATTTTCTGCTCTAGCAGAGGACCAAGTTTAGTTTCCAACAACCACACAGCAGCTTACAACTGTCTCTAACTGGTCCAGGGGACCCAAAACCTGTTTCTGACTTCTATGGGCACCAGTAACGCATATGGTACACACACACACACACACACACACACACACACACACACACACACACACGGCAAACACACACATAATAATAAATTTTCAATAATTTGCCAATGAAGTACACAAATGACCAGTCCGTGTATAGAAAGATCCTCTATACACGAGTCACTAGGAAGATGCAAGTCAGAGCCACACTGTGGGGTCTGAGGGACAGATCCGTGAGGAAGAACATGTACTGTACTTACAGAAGACTGGGGTTTGGTTCCCAGCACCCACATCAGGTGATTCACAGTTCCAGGGGACCTGATGCCTCAGGTCTTATAGGACATCTGCCCTCATGTACACATACCCACACACTGACACAGATAATTTAAAAGTAATAAAAACAAATTCTAAAAAAAACCATATATTAAGACTCTACCACAGAACTTTAGGCCAACAGCTATAATCACAAAGCTGGACTGCTGTGGAGTATTTGTTTATATTGTGAAGATGTGTCACTATAATTGGTTTAATAAAGAGATGAATGGCCAGTATCTAGGCAGGAGGGAATAGGCAGGACTTCTGGGCAGAGAGAGGAACTCAGGATGAATCTAGGTGTGTGGGACATCCCAGCGAGACACTGAAGAAGTCAGACATACGATACAGAGGAGAGATAACCAAGCCACATGGAAAAACACAGATAATAAAAACAGGTCAATTGAAGGTTTTTTTTGTTTGTTTTTTGTTTTTGTTTTTCGAGACAGGGTTTCTCTGTGGCTTTGGAGCCTGTCCTGGCACTAGCTCTGTAGACCAGGCTGGTCTCGAACTCACAGAGATCCGCCTGCCTCTGCCTCCCAAGTGCTGGGATTAAAGGTGTGCGCCACCATCGCCCGGCCAATTTAAGTTTTAAAATCTAGCTGGGAAAAGCCCAACTAGTTCTGCCCTCTGACTTCAGGTAAGGTTTATTCGTTAGAGTACAAACAAGATATCACCACATCTCCCCTTTTCTTTCTAAAATAAAAAGGTTATAACTAACATAAGAAAAACTGTATACAATAAGTACAATAACTATATACAATATATACAGGCAATAATACATTAACAATGTCTAGTCTATTTGCATTTGACAAACTCAGAGAAAAGACTCCATATCTATCCTATCTTGGTGAGTACAAAAGGTTGTATCTTTTAATGCCTTTCAACCTTATATAATTTACACTTCTTTTTTTAAATATTTATTTATTATGTGTACAGCATTCCTTCCATGTGTGCCCGCAAGCCAGAAGGGGGCGCCAGGTCTCATTACAGATGGCTGTGAGCCACCATGTGGTTGCTGGGAATTGAACTCAGGACCTCTGAAAGAGCAGTCAATGCTCTTAACCACTGAGCCATCTCTCTAGTCCTCTAATTTACACTTCTTTAGTGAATTTCTTTTCTGAATCTGGTAACAAGGAAAACTATAACTAAAGAGTATTCAACTAAGTTGAATGAGAAGAAAATAATATTATCTGAGTAAATAGCAAGTACAAGCAAATGACTTCCAAAAAATGTGAGAAATGACAGAAACAGATGACTACCTGGACAGTCACCCAAAGTTCCTCTGTAACGTTGGGGCTTCCATCTTTGGCCTATAGGCTTAGCATGTCTCTGACAGACTTTTCTGTGAAGTAGGGTATTCTGAAGAGCTGTCCCTCCTTGTCTTGATGAAGTTCAGCAGTCCTTCCTTCCTTCCTTCCCTTTTAAAGAGTTATTTTTTTCTTTTTTTATTGAGCTCTACATTTTCCTCTGCTGCCCTCCCTGTCTCTCCTCTCCCCCCTTCAACCCTCCCCCAAGGTCTCTATGCTCCCAATTTATTCAGGAGATCTTGTCTTTTTCTACTTTCTACTTCCCATATAGATTATATCTATGTAAGTCTCTCTTCGTGTCCTCATTGTGGTCTAAGTTCTCTGGGATTGTGGTTTGTAGGCTGGCTTTCTTTATGTTTAAAAACCACCTCTGAGTGAGTACATGTGATAATTGTCTTTCTGTGTCTGGGTTACCTCACTCAAAATAATGTTTTCTAGCTCCATCCATTTTCTTGCAAAATTCAAGCTGTCGTTATTTTTTTCTGCTGTGTAGTACTCCATTGTGTAAATGTACCACATTTTCCTTATCCAAATTCAGTCGAGGGGCATTTAGGTTGTTTCCAGGTTCTGTCTATGACAAACAGAGCTGCTATGAACATAGTTGGGCACATGTCCTTGTGGCACAATTGAGCATCCTTTGGATATATATCTAAAAGTGGTCTTACTGGGTCTTTTTTTTTTTTTCGAGACAGGTTTTCTCTGTAGCTTTGGAGCCTGTCCTGGCACTAGCTCTTGTAGACCAGGCTGGCCTCGAACTCACAGAGATCCGCCTGCCTCTGCCTCCCGAGTGCTGGGATTAAAGGCATGCGCCACCACCGCCCGGCTACTGAGTCTTGAGGAAGGTTGTTTCCCAATTTTCTGAGAAATCGCTACACTGACATCCAAAAGGGTTGTACCAGCTTGCATTCCCACCAGCAATGCAGAAGTGTTCCCTTTTCCCCACAGCCTCTCCAGCATAAGTTGTCATCAGTGTTTTTGATCTTGGCCATTATTACAGGTGTAAGATGGAATCTCAGAGTTGATTTGATTTGCATTTCTCTGATGACTAAGGATGTTGAACATTTTCTTAAGTGTCTTTCAGCCATTTTAGATTCCTCTGTTGAGAGTTCTCTGTTTAGGTCTGTACTCCATTTTTTTTTTTAAATTGAATTATGTGTTCTTCTGGTGACCAATTTCTTGAGTTCTTTGTATATTTTGGAGATCAGACCTCTGTCTGATGTGGGGTTAGTGAAGATCTTTTCCCATTCTGTAGGCTGTAGTTTTGTCTTGTTGATCGTGTCCTTTGCTTTACAGAAGCTTTTCAGTTTCAGGAGGCCCCATTTATTAATTGTTTCTCCCAGTGTCTATGCTGGTGGGGTTATATTTAGGAAGTGGTCTCCTGTGCCAATGCGTTCAAGGAGCACTTGAACTTTTGTAGAGTTAAAGTATCTTTGTATTGTTTTGAGTAGAGCAGTAACATTTGGCTCCCGATTTAATAAGATTGCTCTGCTTTCTCCTTATTGAAACTGAAAGGATTCAAGAATGGAAAGCAAAGGGATCTGCTAGGAGGCTCCTGTAATAATCCAGGCAAGAAGGATAGCCTCTTAAATGTGGCTGGTTACAGTATTATTTAGGAGGTTAGTCTAATGGCATTCCTAATCAGTGGACTATGGAGTCTAAGAGTAGAGGAGTCAGGGGTGACTCCAGTAAGTTAGTATAGTAAATTGAAAGGTAAGACTTAGTATTCACTCAAAGGAAGATGCCATTTTATTTTGTCTGGAACCCTGAAAATGTGGGACAATAATATTAATTTTAATTTGATAAAAATAAATATATAAATAAATATAGCATCTGAAGGAGAAATCATTTTAGTGCTTGATCTTCCCCCAAAAGCTGTGAGCCTCTGTTGTGAAGGAACACTTGCTGAATCCAGTGACAGATGATTAGCTCTTTTCATTTTCATCCTGAGCATTTCAGGAAGAAAGTGTGTGAGCTGCATAAAGTGTTTTAGTTACCTACCTTGATACTATGTTAAAGTCTTTTCTCACAGAGGGGACTATTGTCCTTTTCTTTTTTGTCCTTTTCTTTTTCAGAGTTGTCTTTTTTTTCCTGACTGTTACCAATAGCCACTTGTAATCAACCCCCCTAAACTATGACAAATATCCATAACCCAATGAAAGACCAAAAACTGCCCACCCCATCTCTTGGGAATGTGAGTGTTATGTTCTTAAAGTTACTTCCTGCTGTTTGGGGGACAACTGCATGTTTAGGGGATCCTGAAAAGAAAATTTTGGGTTAATTGTCAAGTCCTGGGAGAGGTAGCTATATCATTTGTTGTTCAGTCTCTGTGTAATGGGAAAATGCAAGGCTTGTCTCAAATCCTGGCTAGAGCAGTCTGTGAGGCTGAATCATCTCAGCTAGCCACCTCAAAACTGTCCTGAACAGTTTGCAGTCCAAAGCCGATCTTTAAGTGGTGTTTTCAGCTAGGTGATGTTATCATCATCCTGGTGGAATTGTCATTATGAGGTCCCATCATCCTTTTGGAGACTTCA